CTTTTTGTTTTGATGACAGTTATGTTCACTGTGCAGAAGCTCTTGGGCTTGATGTTGTCTTGCTTATTTATTTTTCCTTATGTTTGATTATCCTTACTTCCCTTCTTTTCAATTTTGTGGAAGAGTTTGAGATGAATAGGTATTAATTCTTCTTTGAGAGTTTGCCAAATTTCAGTAGTTACAAGTTGGAGTGGGGCCTCCCCAGTGGCGCCGCAGATTGAGCACAGCGCTGTAAAGCTCTCCACAGCCTCTGCAGCACGGGTTTGACTCCCGGCTGGCCAGGGAGAGTCCCACTTGGCGTGGCAGACCTCTCCTGTCTCACCCACTGCTCCCCTCAGCAGTGTATTTCAGTCATCTGCCTGTTCTGCTCCCTGCTCTGTTTCTGATGAATCCTCTCACCCTCCTGTGCCTCCAGCCTGTACCCCAGCTCTTGTATAAAAATAAATAAATCTTTAAAAAAAAAAGTTGAGGACTGTAACACCTTCTAATTCCAAATAAATTTCATAGTTTTTGTTCTCTTCCTATGAAGAATGCCATTAGGATTTTGATGGTGATTGCATTGAATCTATAAATTGCTTTAGGTAATATAACTTTTAAAAATGGATGTTAATTCCTGCAATCCATGAACACAAACATCTTTCCAGTTCTTCTACTTCTTTTCAAGTGTCATATATTTTTCAGTGTATAGGGCTCTACTTCTTTGGTTAAATTTATTCCAAAGTATTTAATGTTTTTAATGCAAATGGGATTATTCTCCCGATTTCTGTTAGTCTGTCACTTTCATGTACAAATACAATAGGTTTTATACATAAATTTTATTTACATTTTCATAATGTATGTATATTTCATTGAGGTAACATTGGCTTATGACACTGTGTGTGATTCAAAGGTATAAGTTTCTATCTCTTTAGATGCATGTTAGTAAACCACACCCACCTCCAAGGCATCCGCAGCCCCCCACCATAGTCCATTTGTCCCCCTCCCTCTTTACAGTCTCCCCTGCTCCATTTTGGAAACCTCAACTTTAGTCTCTAAAGTGTTTCACATTATCAAATTGTCTGCTATGTGAAGATCCAGTATTTGTTTTTATAGTTCTGATTTGCTTTACTACATACTTCTCTCAAATTCCAGCTATTCTGTTGAAAATGACTGAATTTCACCCTTTCCTGTGACTACATGGTACTCCATACTGTGGATATATCACATCTTTTTTTTTTTTTTGGTTATAGAGATACAGATTTATTATTTGGTTGCTGTCATGATAAATTTGCCTCAGCTATGCCCATACATGTTACAGTATTCATGTCTGAGATGAGTAGAGATGTTGCAAAAGGCTTTGCACAATTGAAAATTCATTCTGAAAATATAAATGAATATATGCCCTTTCTTAAGTGTATATACATTCACACACACACCTCCCCCCACACTTACATACACATACTCACATCTATTTCATATTTAAAAAGAAAATGATTAGCTAATAGCACATCTTCTTGATCAGACACCTGTTGACGAACATTTAGACTGCTTCTGTGTCCTGCCTATTATAAATGATGCTGCTCTGAACACGTCGAACATATGGGTTTTGTGTCGGTGGTTTCATATTTTTATGTATATCTATGTCCAAGAGTATGATTGCTGGTTCCTACAGTATTTTCATTTTTAGTTTTTTAAGGTAAACCTGGGTAATGGTTTTACCTGCTTATAATCCCACCAATTGTGTAATAGGGTTCCCTTTTCTCTGCATCCTGTCCCACACTTGTAGGTTTTTTAATGTGTGTCATTCTCGTGAGTGTGAATAATCTCCTTGTGGTTTTAACCTCCATCTCTTATAGGAAGAACTAGAACTTTTTTTTTAAAGATTTATTTATTTATGCATACAAGAACTAGGGTGTAAGCCAGAGGTGTGTGTGTGGGGTGGAGGCATTGAGAGGATTCACCAGAGACAGAGTGGGGAGCAGAACACGCGGATGCACTGAAATACACTGCTGAGGGGAACAGCGGGCAAGAGAGGAGAGGTCTGCTGTGCTATGTGGGTCGGCTCTTTGGGGGGGGAATCCATTGCTTGACAGCACTGTGTCTTTAATCCCTAAGCCATTGGGAGGCCCAACTAGAACATTTTTTTCATATGTATTTTGACCTTCTGGATATCCTGTTCGGTGAATTGTCTGATCATATCTGTTTCCCATTTATTAATTGGGTTATTTTTTATTGTTGAATTGCATGAGTTATGTACCTTGGATATCAATCATTATTTATATATTGTACACTCTTTTCCCATTCAATAGGGTGTTTTTAAAACTGTCTTGTGTTTTCTTTTGCTATAGAAAAGTCTTTTAACATCAGGTAATCTCAATTCTTTATTTTTGCTTTTAGTCCCCTTGTCAGAGGGGTCAGGTCAGTAAAAACAAACTATTGTTAGTATCATGGAACATATCACCAGTGTTTTCTGTGTATTGTTGCAGGTCCTATATCTAAATCAATCTTTAATCCATTCAGACTTATTTTTGTGTGTGAGGTTAGCGAGTGATGAGTCCTAAGTCACTTAGGTGTGACTTTCCAATTTTCTTAGCTTATTTTATTAAAGAGACTGCCCTTTCCACGTTTATGGTCATGGCTGCTTTATCAAAGATTAGGTACTGGTATGCATGTGGACTTATCTCTGACTTTCAATTCCATTGATCCGTGTCTGATTTTGTACCAGTACCACATTGTCTTTAGTAATGTTGCTTTATAGTAAAGTTTGAAGTCATTTCTGCCTTTTTTTTTTTTTTGCACAGTGCTGCTTTTGCAAAATGAGGCCTTTTGTGGTTCCATGTGAATGTCCATATTTTTTGTTTAGTTTGTTTGAAAAATATTACAGACATTGTAATTTATTCATTTATCGTTTTAGACAGTAATTTTGATTATTTTGATCTCCTTATCCATAAGCATATGCTATCCTTAAGTTCTTTAATAAAACCTTGTAATTTTTGTTGTATAGGGTCTTTTACCTCCATAGTAGGTTAATTCTGAGGTATTTAATTCTGTTTGAAGCAATTATAAAAGGAGTTATTTTTTTTGAAGTTGGATTATATTATATTATATATTATTTAAATTTTATTTTTATAGTCCCCATACAATCACAACCCCCTTATTTTGACCCCAATCCCTCCTTTCCCTGCCCCTCACCCCCATAGTGTATCTCTGGTTCATAGTTGTTTGTTGATTTTGATTTTTTCTTTCTCATAGTTATTCTTTTTCCTGGTCCCTTATTTAGGTTTTCTAGATTCCTGCTATGAGTGAGACCATCCCTAAAATTTAGATGTGAGGTATAATGTTTGAATGACTTTAATGATTTTTATTTAAAGCATAGGTAAAATTGGATCATCTAATTTTAACTTAGAAATTTTAATTCATAAATCTCATAACACTGAGTGTCACAAGTATAAGAGGAGAAAAAGAGTTGTTGAATGTAACTTTGGAGCAGGAAATAGCCTTTGGATCCTTTTTATGTGATTGTGTATAGGTTAGGCAGCAGGACTAATGTGTGTGTATTTGCATGTGTGTGTATAAAAATATACATATTTAATCACACATACGTACATACATACACTTTTCTAATATTGTATATGAATATAACATTTTGGTTTCACAATGAAAATTAACCAAACTAGTATTAGGAGAAATGAGGTATTCTTGTTTAAAAAGGGCTTAAGCCCATCAATTTGTGTCTCAAGCTAACTAGCACTTGGATGTTTATATTGGGCTATTTGCTATTTAAATTATACAGATCCACAGTATTTGTTATGGCATAACATCTGCTAAAAGTATTGGGGTAGTAGAAAAAGTAGATGTTTGTATTTTCATTCTGGCATGTTTATTGATATCCTAAGGAATATTTGTCACTTTTTCCCCTCCGTGAGGGACATGACTTCCTGAGGTAGGTCCATTCTGGTGATGTGGGACTTCTCCAGCTGATGTCAGTGCTTTCCAGAGGAATGATTCTGACCAAAGGAGGGAAATAAGAAATTTAAGCAAAATGGAGCCATCTGAGTCTCGGTACAACCATAATAGAGAGGCTGTCAAGGGTCAGCCCCAGGCACACCCCAGCACACCTAGATGCGTCCACTCCTGGGAAGAAACTGAACCAAAGGAGACTGCCCAAGATTGAAACCTGATCACTTATGCTTGACTAATTTCACCTAATTTGCATTTTATTGCAACAATCAAAAAACTTGACTGCTTTGAAGCATAATTTGGGTAATAGACCTAAGTGAGAATTATCCTTCCCTTTCTTTGTGTATTTAGGTCCTACCCATTCTTAGGCAACCCGGAACACTACTCAAGGGCTACTTGGGCAGTCCCCAAATCCAAAAGACTTTTTTCCCATTCTGCTTCAACCAGGATTCTTGATTAATAAGGCCATTTTGATTTATTGGGTTGTCGGAAAAGTCATGACTCATTTTTTTTTCTCTGTTATGACTTTTCTGACAACTCAATAGAAACAGGGCCAGATATCAGTGTTGGGGTAATTCCATCATACTCCTGGCAGCAGAGGTCGTGTCTGGCAGGCTTCAAAGCCTGGAAATGCAATGAGCGCCAGGAGATAAGCCTTCCAGAAACTCCTCTGGAACCACAGGGTGGGACCTCCACCTCCTTCCCCCAGGGAAGTCTCCCTTCCCCTCTGCACCTCCCAAGGCCACCTCCCCTCCCAGTCCCTCACTGGATATTTCTCAGGGGAGCTCCTTTCCCTTCCTCACTGAGAAGTCCAGGGGTTCCCTTCCTCCCATTCACAGTGTGCTCAAAGGAGGCAGACAAGACTGTCAGCTGCAACAGACGATATAGTCTGTTGGGTTCGAAAAACTGAGTGGGTTTCACAGAAGACACCCATTTAACAAGTGCAGGAAGCAGACCCTAGGGAAGGGCAGGAGGTGACCAGTTGACGGAAAAACACAAACTCTTTTCCCAACTGGGCGTCCCACCCCCACCAAAAGAAGACAGTGGGACTAAGAGGTGAAGTTCTCATTTATTGTTGCGGCAACTCTTACAGACATTAGCGTTCAGTTAAATAAAGGGAGATAGCACATTACGTACATCACAACCCCCAAAACGGTGCGGCAGAGGGGAGGGCGGGCCGGCCCAGTGACCAGACTGTCAGAGGAAGTACATTCAGTGGGTGTGCGGCATCAACATTCCAGGCTCACATGTATATATCTTTTATTTATATATTTATATTTATATATAGAGATCATTGAGTTTTGTGTATACAAAGAACGCTATTCTTACAAATACAATACTATACTTCTCCCAAGGCTTTACAATAAGCTCTATTTCACCCTCTTTACAGAACAATAATACAAGTTCATACTCTAGGGGCTGTGCTGAATATGTACATGAGATTTCCTACCCACAGTCCTCACGCACTGCCTCAGTGGAGGGGGACGTAAAAATCAGTGTCATGTGCTCAAGTCGGCCCAAATCAGGGCAGGAGCAGACGGACATGAAACTCAAACCAACCAGTGACCTTGCGAGTGGGAGAGTAAACACGTCTATGAGGAGGTGGCCCTTGGTTGTAAACATTGTAACAGCCACACCACTGGGTCCAGGGGCCCAAGAAGGGCTCTGTGGGTGGGTTTGGTCAGCGTGCAGATGGGGGGTGCTGGGTGCAGGCGGGGGCCGTGGGGGTGGCAGGAGCGATGGGGGAGGTAGTAGGTTACTCTGGGACTCTCTGAGGCCAGTGATGGTGGACAATGTTCAGAAAGCAGACCCGTCTGCGGGGTATGGAGTCCAGAGCCCCATGATGGAGCCCAGGCCCCGAGGCGCCCACTTGGTGAGGGGAGTGGGCTCCAGGCATTGGTCTCTGGGGGTTTTTTCCTCTCGTGAACCCAAGGCTGATGGTGACTCCCTGAAATGCTTGCATTTGAGAAGGCAAAGGCAGGGTGGGTTCTGGTGCATCCTGGCTGGCCCAGGAGGGGTAGAGGAATCTGGGAATCTGTTCCCAAAGCTGAGTCACAAGCATGTCCTAGCCGAGTGGCAAGAGTGGCTTTTTGCCCGAGCAATGTTTGGGAAGGCTGCTCTGTACATAGTCGTCCCCATTATGCTGGGTACCAGATATTTGCATATATAACTATACAGATTGGGGTGTCAGAAGGGAAATAGATCACCGCTTCCCACTGGGCTTTCAAAAACTGAGTTACTAACATTAAAGTTTCTGTCTCCTTGGTTAACCACAGGCCGGTCAACTCCCCCATCCACTGGGAGCAAAGGAAAATGCTACACTTCAGCCGGGTGAATCTGTACCGAGTTCCGGCCACATGCGCTATCTGGGTGTGAGGAGCCGCTTTTATTAACTCAAAGGTACGTGGTGGATAAATGGTCTTATTCTTAAGCTAAAACGTTAGTCTTTTAGGAGAACTGAACCACAGTGGCTTTTTCAGCACCTTTCAAATTTCCCAAGATTTTTGTGTACTAGCAAAAGAAAGTATAGTCCCCCTCCCCTCTCCTTGGGGTGAAGATGTTTCATTGCCATTATTGGGAGGCTGCTTAGGGGTGGGGTGTGCAGGTGGAGTGCTCCCCTGGCCCCCATAAAACGAGGGCAGGCTGCTCCCTGGGCAGGGGCTTGGTGGGCAGGGGGCCAAATGGTCACCCTGGGAGCAGCTGGCATCAATCCACATGGTTCCCAGGGTCCAGATGCCAGCAATCCCATGAGGATCACCTCCTTCCTGTTCTAGCCACTATACTTTTGGTAGAGGAAAGAACTTATGACTCCTTGATATTTAATATTATCAGACACTGTACAGTTCGGTTGCATCAAGAAAGATGAAGAACCCGGAGCCATGGTTCCAGGCTCCTGACATTTGTGGTGGGTCAACTTTGGGGCAGCAGCCTCCAGCTAAGTATTCTCAAAAGACATGAGGGGAGCTGAAATACCCACCCCGACTCCTCTGGAGAGGCAGCAACTCTCCTCCCCAGAGAAGACTTTGGGGGCAGTGACAGCCCCTCTTTATTGGGGCTTATACCACAGCCACACTGACACTTCTGCCCTGAAACTTCCGGCTTTTCTACTGAGCGGAAAATGCTGGTTTCCTTCATTACGGAGACCCAGGGGAACAGACTGCACAGCCTCTCTGAGGGAAGTCTCTTATTCCTAATCTTTTCATATTCATTCGTCTCCCGCCCCAAAATCCCTCCATGCCATGTGTAAATAAGTACTACCCGACATGTATGCTCACTGCATTGCTAACGCCACAGAGACAACATAAATATCCCAGGTGCAGAGAACAGGGCTATATTAATATTACAAAATATATTAGCTTCTCTTCCCCTGTCTCTACTGAGGTCATGAACAAAACAAAAATCAAAGCAAGCCACACCCCACTCACAGGAAAACAAAATGCTCTTTGGACCAAGAAAAAGTAAAAACTGGCTCAGAATAATATTACTAAAACTTCTGTACAGAACTGAGATGGAACCGTGAATAGGAGGCACCTGATGAGAAAACACAAAACATTCCACATGAATAGAACACTCAGACCCACGAGGCAGGACATTGTTTCTGGAACACACTGGAGATTTTCAGGCATAGCTTGGGGCTGTTATGGTCCCCTGTGGCTTCTGTACTATTCTGGTCTTTCAGATGTCACATCCTGCCTCGTGGCCCTGAGCGGAGAAGAAAGCAGGTCCTGCCTGGGGCCAGGAAGCATAGCACGATCCACCCAGATCCTTGTCTTCAGGGGGGCCAGTCCGTTCTTCCCAGACTGTGTGTGCGAGGTGGGTGGTTGAGGGGAGTCCACTAGGGGAACATTTTGAGCCAAGGTGGTGCTGGCAGGGCCACTTAGCCGGAGGGTGCCTCTCTCAGGACAGGGCTGACCGGCTCATTTGGGCTCACCTGCCAGGAGAAGGGGCTTCCCAGAGAGGTGATGTGGGCTCTCCAGGGACCCTGTGTCTTGGTGGTGAGGACAGAAGGGCAACAAGCGAGCGAGACTGTGTGTGTCGATGTGTGCGGTGCAGAGGGGCAGAGCTCCTGCCAGAGCTCTCTAACAGTTGGGGACCTCAGGACAACCAAGGGAAGCTGCGGATGCCCCAGGAATTGCCAAGCTCTTGCAAGGCGATGGTGTCCTTGCCCAAGGCAGTTCCCTTTCGATCCTTGAGTGAGAGAGCTCATCTTAGAAAACAGCTGTGTTGAAAGTAAAACTGGCTATAGAAGAGGCATGAAGTTGGCTCAGAATTCCGGATGGAAATAATGTATGGCACCCCAACAACATGGTGGGCAGGGCACAACCTTAACAATGGGGTTGGCCCCTCGTTGCTACCAGATTCCTAGGAATTGACATGAGGAGGGCAGAGAGGAGCGATCAGATTTTAGGCACTGCTGAATCACCTTCTTCCCCGCCCTAGGAGCTCCTGCCAAGAGGCCTGCACCTCCTGGGAGGAAGGATTTCCCTCTGGGCAGTGACAGTCCTCCTCAGGACCCCCGAGGCCCTGCTGGAGTGTCCTGGGTGGAAACAGGGTGGAGATTGGCTGCTCTCCACCCTCGAGGGAGTGCAGACAAAACTTCCCTGGTATTGGAAAAAGAAACAAAAGACGCAAAACTGGAAAGAGACAGAGAGCAAAGAGGTCTTTGCAGATTCTTTTCTTCCTGTTTAAAACCAAGTGCTGGGCACAAGAGGGAAATGTCTCAGTGGGCACACGGATGCAGCACAAGAAACACAACCACGAGTGAGGAGAGTCCTCCATGCATGCCGCCGGGAGGGGGAGCCTCAGATGTAGACAGGCTGCTCCTGGGCCGTCAGCAGTCTGTACATGGCAGCCGGCATGGTCTTCATGTGAATCTGAGGGCAGAAACACGGGAGTGAGGACCGAGGCTCGGGGGCTGGGGAGCACTGCCCCAGGGTTGGAGTGATGAGGTTGTTGGGGGGATAGTATCAGACACACTGACCCCTCACAACTACCAGGGACCTGGGCCAGGTGGCCTCCAGGAAGAACGTAATCTGTGGTCCCTCTAAAAGTTAGGGGTGACACAAAGGGAACAGTGATGACCAGGTCAGGTCCATTTTCCTAACCAAGTGCTCTTGCTCGCATCAGGCCCTTTCACAAAAAGGAGAAAACCCTGGAAACAGGAGGAGACTGGCTGGAGCTCTGCGTGTTCCTGCCCTCCCTTCCCTGCTTCTCTGGCAGGGGAAGCCACAGTAAACCAGCCCTGAAGCAGCTCTTGGGACCTGAGGTGAGTCTGTGCCAGGGAAGTGCCTCTGGAGGCCTGACCTGTCGATACACGTGAATCTAATCTAATGTGCCGGGGACATTTAACCGGGAAACATGGAAAGAACTTGGGCAGCCACAGGGAGAAGCCCCAGGAGTCTGAGTAATCACTCTTGAAGGGAGGGCTAAAGGGAATGAGCCTTATTTCATGGCATTGCCCTCAGATAGCCACTTATTAGTGGATTTAAAATCTGGTCTGGGATGGACGGCTCCTATTATTGAGGGGTATTTAGGGTAGGAAGAGGACTTCTCAGGACACTTCTGGAAAGGCCAGGGTGAGCACAAGGTGAGAGGCACCCCCATGCCAGACCCCTCTCCTACCTCCCCCACAGCGTTGGAGAGGATGTGCACGATCTTCTCGTGGGGGGTGGCGACCACGCTCTGCCCGTTGATTTCTATGATCCGATGCCCCACACGGACGCCCCCTCGCTCAGCTATCCCTCCTCGCATGAGGCTGCAGATCTAGTGAGGTCAAAGGTCGAGTTAATCACATGAGCAGCACCTTGTATCAGGGAACTGAGTGAGGACAGAAGCCTCTTTTCTGGACCTCCCCACCCTCCCTCCACACCCTCATCTCTGGGAAGCTGCCATGATGATTAGGTTTGGGGCATTTACATCTGTTTCTTCTCACAAGATATAGGATTCTGCAGGCTCATGCGGCCACCTTACTGGCGCACTTTGCAGGGAGCACAGCACATGGCTGAATGGCACAGCATGGTGACCTGGGATGACACTGTGCCTTCCATTCCAGCTGGGACTTGATACATTCCAGCTATAGGTGCCTGACAGTTGCCAACATTTTCACCCTGTCAGCCAGTGTAAGGCAGGTAAGTAGTATTTTCCAAATCGCCACTGGATGCAGATGTTGAGCTGCATAATGCTGGCAGTCTGACCTCAGGGTCACAGATACATGAGCCAAGGCAGAGATGGGCACCCCAAATGTGGCCAGCTGGAGGGGAAGGGAAGATGAGACGGTGATGCCCCGTGACAGGCTTCCTGTGAGTGTGGGGCCTCCTCTGGGGGTAAAATGTTCCTGAGGTGCTTCCTACACTAGATAAAACTGGGGGCCCCCATGGTCCTGCACCTGTTATACAACAACCCTTTGTTAATAAACAACTTTTAATATTCAAATGTGAATATTAAAACAAAAAGTATAAACAGATAAAAACTTGACTTTAGACCAAAACTATAAAGAGTAACTCTGGGTCTTCTGGGAGGAAATGAGGCAGTAGAGTGGGAGGGACAGATGAGGTGGGCTAAGATATTTCAACTTTGGCATGCCAAGTACTTCTGAACCTTACACCACACTTGGAATATCATTTTAATGACCTATAACTCTCAATTGAAAGTTAAGGGGGGAGTAGGGTTCTTTGATGTGAAAAGATGAATGCAGAGAGGCAGGACATATCACCCCAAATCTTGGAAAATCAAGAAAATTCAGACAGAATAGATTTGCCACCAAAGCCCAGAATTCCTGTGAATCCAGAACAAGGCAAACCAGTACAAAAAGGAAACCTGCAGCCTCTCCCCATCAAGGTACGTGCTTGGGCTGGAACAAAAGCCAGCCACGTTGTCCTTTCTGGTGAGAAGTGAGTTTGAATAGGGCTGCTGGGTGAGGAAGGCAGAAGGGGGGCCTCCCCTCCAGCTGGCCACACTTGGGGTGTCCACCTCTCCTTGGCTTATGTATCTGTGATCTGCAGATCACACTGTTCTTACTTAGGATGAAGAAAAAGTTCTAGATATTAGGGTTGACTGTCACATCACGTTGTGAATGTACTTAATGCTACAAATTGTCCACTTAACAAAATGGTTTAAATGATACATTTACTGTTGAGCAGCATTATTTCAAGGCTAAACATCCAAGTGATAAAAATGTTCTTTATCTCTAAAGTGCTAATTCAGTTTAAAAAGGCAAGGCCAGTGGACTAGAGGACTAGGGCTGGCTTGATGGTGGGTAAGATACACCTGAAGAGATGTGAGCTTATTCCTTTGAATCCTGGATGTAGTGTTGTAAACCAGTGTTTCCTCAATTAAAAAAATAAAGGCAAAGCTCACTCATTCCTGCACAACAGCCAGGGCTAGTTTCTCAATCTGGGCTGGCACCATAACTGATCACAGGGGAGGTGTGAAGACCTCGAGCCCAGCCCCAGGTGCCATACTCCAGTCTTGGGGAGCTGCAGCAGGATTGTAGGGGCCCTCCTGTGCAGGGTAGAGAACAGCAAGCCTGGGCCAAAGGGGATTGGGGGAGGGGAATGGATACCTTTGGTTGGTACAGCCCCATCGCCTCCAGTTGGCAGCTGGAAGGCTCCAGGCAGGTCCCACAGAGATGCTGGGCCCTGACACCATGGCTCAGGGGAGGGCACAGGATTCTCTGCCTATGGAGGAAGGTGAGTCTGCCTTGGCCCAGTCATCCCTTCCTTGCTAGATCCTCAGGGAACTGACTGGCTTAGAAAAAGTAAAAAACAACAAACATGGCTACATTTTTATATTTCAGACTTTGAAAAGGGGGCGTGGAGTTGGACTTACGATTCCATTCTGGACACTGAAACCGAGCTGGTAGCGAAGGTCTGGTCTCCTGATCAACACAGTAGTGACTGGAGGACACCTCACGATGTTCAACTTTACCCGGGACTGGTTCTTCAAGCCCTGAAGTGTGAATAAAGCACAGGGGAGAGGGCAACACTGAGGCAGACAGAACCTGTAAGGGCGGCGGAGCCAAGGCAAAGGAAGCTCCACTGGCCAATAATGCCCTGGCCAGGGCAGCCTTAGAAAATCGTCACAAAGGTACTTTCTCTCACTAGGATGGTAGGAAACTTTTGCTCCTAAGGTCCTACCACTGACTTGAGCTTCCACCTAAGGAACAAAAGTACTGCAGCCTAAAAGAAGCCCCCATCCCCCAGGTCTCCCTCAGACTGCCTGCCCCACCAGCTCCTGCTTGCGGCTTCTGGCTGCTCCAGACCAAACAGCCTCAAGCAGGTGCTGCCCACCCCGTTTCATGTCATGGCACCCAGAGAAAGATCCTGTATCTATACCACAAACTAGTTTTTGACTGGGGGTCCTGCTGCCCTGGCTCTGCTCTGAGAGGCAAGGCTGGGGTAGGGTCTAGCACCCCCGGGGAATGAGGCCAGCTGATCGGGAAGCTGCTGAAGGTCAACCAGACCTTCACAGGGTCAGAAGTGAAGCTGTTGCTAAGAGATGGTGCTGTGGGTGGTAGGCAACCTCTCTTCTCAGACAGAGAAGTTACCAGAGGAGGGGCAGTGTGAAAGAAAGGTGGGCTCTGGTTTAATTATCTTCCAGAGCCTGCACCCGATCAAGTCACAGATGAGTCCAGTGTGTGTACTCGAGGCGCAGAGTGGAAATGGAGGCCCGAGAAAATGTCAACTCCATTTCAGCCTGAAAGGTAATTCTTATTCTATAAACAGAAATCTGCAAATTTCATGGCCCCCTCTACCAACCATCACCCAGTAGCCAGTATAGAAAATACTTTCTCACTGCACGAGGTCTGGACTTGTGTTCACAGTTTTAGATGGGGACACAGAAATGGACATGACACCTGCCTTCTTGAAGGGGCAGTGAGGTCGGGACTGGGACCATGTCCCCCACTCAGGTCTCTGCCTTCCTCAAGAGTGCCTGGCTAAGCACAGGTAACATTGGTGTAAATGACTTCAGCCCCAGAGAATTTGTGGCAATAGTATGACTTGCTGCTCTGAGTACAGTAGCTGCCCACATGGCTTTTGTTTCTAAGTAACAAAGATAATGCTCTATGCTCCAAGTATTTTGGGAAAGGTTTTTTCAGTGCCTCTGGTCAGCTGGCTGTTATGCTTGGCCAACAGGTATAGACCAATGGTTCTCAGCTGCTTCAGCTGGACACTTGTTAGAAATGCAGCAGCTTGGGGTCCACCTTAGATCTACCCAATCAGAAACTCCAGGGTGGGACCTGATAATCTGTGTTAAGAATTCTCATTGATTGTGCTACATAATCAATTGTGAGAACACGGGTGTAGATCAGCACTACAGAATCGTGAACTCACCTGCATGCAGGTGACTTAATTGCTCCAAATCAGGTCCAAACACATCAAATGTCATCCCCGTAGCCAGTTTGTTCCTGATGGTAGAGGCTGGGTGTGTTGGGGTAGGGTGATGGCCCGATCAGCCACCTCTATGTCTGTATTATGTGCACCCGAGATCACCACCCATCAAAACCCATCTCGATGATGAAACCGATCAAACCATCTATCACTGCACATGGACTCCTTCTAGGCAGAAAGTCACAGCAAGGTCTCCTTGACAAAATGGCAGCTATAATTGTGCCCATTTCCTAGACAGGAAACTGAGTCTCAGCCCCGTTTACCCACAGCCAGATTCAGTCCCAGGTCTGTCTGTATTCAGACTCACAGCATTTTTTCCTACACCATGTTCCCTCAGACAGACAACAGGAGAGTGTCTGTCATTCCCCAGGAAGACCTGGGCAATTTGACAAGGGCAAATTCCTGCCCCCACATCCTTCAGCCAGACCTCGCATGGGGCTGTGTTTTTTACACCTGGTGAGTTTTTCGGGGCCCCTGACCGCTATTGTCCCCACTTCCTTAGGTGGAGTCCAGTTTGTGCTCTCAATGTGCAGATACTGATGGGGCTCAATTTCCCACTGTCAGCTCCTTGGCTGGATTCCTCAGTGTTCTCATTTGCTGTTTTCTGCAGGATTTGAGCCTCCCAATGGTGGGGACACCCAGGCAGTGTTACCAGCATATCTCGTGGTTTCTGGAATATTCTGGGACATTCTCTGGTTCAAGAAATGTTTTCAAAGTGGAGCAATGAAATGAGCCAAGGGCCATTCTCTCCGGATAAAAAGAAGTCTGAGGAAGATACAGACCTTCCCCAAAACAGCAGGTCCATCGTCCACTGATGGGGGTACGCTCTGGCTTTTTCTCCTAATGACAGGACTCACAGGGTTTGGTGGAAAGGACACTTGTGTCAGAAGACCCTAGACACAAGTTGTTTCTGCCATTACAGGTTGTGGGGTCTTAGACACTCTGCCCCACCCTCCTTCTACCTCCATCTTATCACCAAACAAATGGTGACGCTCACAAAAGTCTCCTCCACTCCCAATCTCTGATTTCCCTTTGCACGCTTTTCTGCCCACTTTCTAAATGTGTTTGCCAACAACAATACATCTCAACCATCATTCTTAGAAACGCCTATTTCTAAAATTATAAAGCAGGATTCTTTGCAGGAGGGTTGCTCAGACATCATTCATGCATCTCTCCTGTCAGTATCTCCCTTTTCTTATTCACTTAATAATTACCGGTCACTTGCTGTGTGCCAAGAAATGTGTTAGGTCCTGGCTTGGCCTCCAGTACTCGGTAGAGGGCAGTGAGGCCACAGGCAGGGCAGTCAGAGAATTGTGGGTCCTTTCCTTCCCTCTGTCTGCAGTCATAAGAGCAGGAGATGGTGGGAAATGAGTGAAGAATGAGGAGAATAAGGAGCATGTTGTGAGAAACCACCCTTCAGACAAAGCCACCTGCGGTAAACATTTATACCTATTAACCACTGGGATTGTTTAGGTGTGTTTGTGAGAAAAACCTTATAGAGCAGACTGAAAAGAAGGCGACTGTTTTCTCAATGTCACCTCAAGAGTTCACATTGCTCTGCAGGTTTCTCCCTTTTGTGTGAATTTGAGATGCCGGATTCTTCCCTCAGTGAAAGAATTTCTAGATTGGGGAAATATGCTGCCAGATGAGGCTTAGAGAGGTGGCAATTTGAAATAACCAGACCTGCATCTGCTCAGCTATTCCCAATCAATGCCTTAAGTTGGGTTGCATTAAGTTGGATTTCTGTGCTGCCATTTTATTGGAGGTGCCAATTAAATAAATGGTCATTCCATCCCCATGACAACGGTGGAATGGTGCAGTAAATGAAAAAATACAGTGGGAGGGGAAGGGTAGAGTAGAGGGGAGGGGACTAGAGAGAAGCCAGAATGGTCTCTATAGCAACAGGAAAGCTAAACCATGGTTGGAAGGAGGGGGAAGCTGTGATCTAGTTAAAAAAATAAAAAACCAGGAGGGCAGGACCAGGGAGGCAATGGCACAAACAGACAGATGGCTAACATGTTTTGCCTACCCATAATTACCCTTTAGGAATTATGACAGGAACAATGAGAGCTGGGCAGGAGGAGAGCAGTGAAAATAATTCAATATCGATAACTCTATTCTAGAACTAATCTATTTCCTCTAGAGGGAGAAAATGTCAACATACGTTAAAGTGGTAGGACGCAGAATACACTACTTCAGATTCTTGTTCCTCAAAATGGGACTCCAAGGCTGGCAATATCATCATCTGGAGTTTGTTGAAAACTCAGAATCCCACCCTAGACCTGCTGAATCAGAACCTGCATCTTATCCTGGGTAAGTCAAATCAAAGTTTGCAAAACATCAATTTGTCAGGATGAGAGTGGCTTGTTAAATGCATTGCAAAGAGCACTGACACAACAGGGAAATGAGCAATAGTCTCAGGAAGCCTTGAAGAAGCCTACAATATTCCTCAGCAGCAGCCAGGGAGGTGGGGGGTGGGTTGTGTGAGTCTCTGCTCAGGTGCAGGCTAAAGGGATTGTGTAATGCAGAGAATTTAGAAACATTAATACCCACTGGTGCCTTCATTTGGCACTGGCCTGTCTAGCTGAAATTGTGCTAAAATTCTCCCAGCCATGACCTGGCCCACCTCATATTTCCATTCCACAAAGCAGCTCATCTGTGGCATTGAGGAAGTGCAGCTAATTGGGGCCTGCCCCCAAAAGCACTTCTTTGCTGAGTGCAGCCACAAAGCCCTTGCTTTTCTTTCTCTCTATCAGTTATCTCTCTCATCACCATATGGCCTTTTAATTCTCTGATTCCACAGAGGTTCCATTAATAGACAGCAAAAGTCCATCACTCTTGCAAACAAACCTTCTCCCCTTAAGAAATTGCTCAGATTAGACCCAGCAAGCTTTGTTCCCACCTTGTGTGACCCATGGGCAGATGAGTCCCCAAAAGGTATCAGGGAAGTCAGCCTCTGTTCTCTCATCTGCCTCCTCTGTGCAGAGGCAAAGAAGGCGGGGAGGGGGCTGCATGGCAGGTGCATACATAATGGGCACTGACAGGCAGCCTCGGGGCTCCCGGGTCACAGTCCCACCTCGCCAGGTTATCTCTTCTCAACTCCTCCTCCTCCAACTTTCTAGACCCAAATCACCCAGGATCCTTCCCTCACGACCTTCCCTTCAACCCCTTTCCCAGTTTCTCTCTCACATCTGAACTCTTCCACTCCTTGGCAGCCTGCTCCGGGCTGTCCTGTGCGCTGTGGATGTTTAGCAGCACCCCTGGCCTCTACCTCCTGGGTGCCAGCAGCTTCTCCTTCTCCCTAGCTGGGGCAAACCACACTGGCTCCAGGCACCGCCCAATGTCCCCTTGTGCCGGGGGAGGCAAGAGAACCACTGCCCCGGGGTCTGGCCTCGGGGATCTAGCATCAGACCTGACTGTTCACCCTGCGGTAACCAAATCAGGGCGGCCTAGTGACCTTGAATGATTATATCATCTTTCTGTGCCTCAGTTTCCTGCATTGTACAAAGGGCATGACTAAAGTACTTACCCCACACAAGGCTGCTGTGAGGGTTGTCAGTAAGCACTCACATGTCACCCAATCACTGCCAGCTATCAGCCCTTTCATTTACTTCTTGCCAAGAACAAGTTTATTGAAGTGCAGATTTTATGTAATGTCCCATTTCCATGGCTTCTCTGTGGTTCTCACACATTTACAGGTATTCAAACACTAACTGGCTGGTGAGAAAGGGCGGCATGAATTTTGGCATGTATAGGGAGAAGCCAAAGCCACTGTTCTTTTCCCCACCCTTGGCCTCCTCCGTTGTCCCCTAACAAATCAGCTTTCCCAGGCCAGGCTCAGAACTGCCTGTCCTGCCTCACAGCCATTCAAGTAGAAGCTTCCAAAGACCACTTTCCTTTTTGCTGTCCATCAACATCTTAGTCCTCTTTCAAGGCTCACCTTAACAATAGGGGCAAATTCTAGATGCTCATAGCATTTCACCTGTATGTTGCTGTTAGGGCCCAGGGACTACTTTCACTTATAAATTATCCTTCACATGGATACTGTCATTCTGGCTTCCTGTGCAGTTCAGCTCAGCCTAACAAAGACCCACTTAAATATGGCTGAATGAATATGCATGTTCACAATAGATTCTTTAATCCTATCTGTAATGCAAATTAAACAAGAGGTAGAATTACTTTAAGTGTAAGGTGTAACCAAAAAAAAAAATGAGGTCAAAAAAGATTTTCTTTCTGGATGGGATAATCTTATGAGGAATTAGAATCATTCATTTAATTGTAAATGAGACACCCATCTCTGTGTCCTATGCACACACCTTGACCTTCCAGTTCTCATCCCTTTAGTCAAGGATGTTAGTTTTTGTAATCTTCTTTTCCTAGAATAACTATTACATGCATTTGTTCTCAATTTTTCTCCTTCCGCTCTTCTTTGCCTACATGCATGCATTCACACATACACGAAGCTATGTTCTGACTAACAGTCTTTCAGGAAACCTGGAGGGACCAAAGGAAGCCATAGGATCCTAGTCTTCCTGTGCTGACAGCAGAGCTTTGGACAGAGCTAGCAAGGCCCACCGACACTGTAATGGAGAAGAATAGTCTGTTCCTACAGGCCATGCAATCTGCATATTCCACTGTGCTCAAGACATTGCACATGGATGCTTCATTTCTAAGAATAGAATCAAATTTCTTCCCCTCAAATATTCACATTTAATTTCCCTTCAATTAGCTCCCTTAGCCTTCTACAATAGCATCAGTTTAGGTTGAGCAAGTAATTATGTTCAGATGTGAGAAGGATTACACAGCCGACACCAGAGTTTCCTCTTCCTTATGGCGCATGTGGATCACATTGCACAGGCTCTGGGAGAAGATAAACTCTGGGTCACAGCTGTAAAGGAAAAGTGCTCTCAAATTGGAAGCATTTCCAGGATTTAGAACCAAGACAGCAAATCATCTCATCCAGCTGACAAGTGACTGGAGTACTGAGGTAGGAAAGTTCTGCTGAGACAAACTGGGCGTAGTGGGAGGGAATGCTGCAATAGATTAGTAATGCCTGGGACTGGTACAACATGGAGTGGTGTCACATGAGTGAAATATACCATCCCCGACCTAAAAATTATTTCAGGGAGGGATATATAAATAGTAATTTGATGAAAAATAACCTGATTGCAAGCTCATCCCTTTTGTATTGTTACCTCCTCAGAACCTGACACTTACAATATGTTCATAAACATCAGATAACTTCATGAAGTTATCCATCATGTCAATTCAGATTTACAAAAGAAGTTGATTTTTCCCATCCCAGGTACCTTAATAATGCTCTGGCAGGTGGACAGAGGCAGACCCACTAGGCTGGTGCCATTGATGGACATGATCTGGTCCCCGATATTCAGCTTCCCCGATTTCTCTGCAGGCCCTCCATGCATCATGTTGGCTATGATTACAGTTGGCAAGATGGAGCCCCAGCCAGACTCCACAATCACCACACCAAGGATTTCTCCCTTCTGCTTCTCTATGAAGACCTGAAAGGAGAAACATTTAGAAAGCCTGAATCTCCAACTATCCATGGTCGCAATACCCATTCCTGTCTTGATAAGACATATTGCTGACGACACCAGCCCCGATGAACCCTGTCTTCTTACTCCAAAGCATTTGGAGTTTGTAACACAGGCCCATATTCTTGTGATTGTTTCACATAAGCCACCTTGCCTAGGTACTACAACCACAAGGGGCCTAGGGATTTTATCTTTTCCATGGTCCCCCTGGTTGTATGTAGGAGGGGAGGGGGTTTGTTGGTGAGGGTTTTGGTGGCATGTTATGGATTCCAAGACTTGCTTCTGGATTCTGTGCATAGTCTCATACCATTATGCTTCACAAATTCTCTCCAACATTACATTCTTGAGTTGAATGTAAATATACATTGCCGCGGACCAGCCCAGCGGTGGCGGGAGATTGAGACAATCTCAGGGTGGATTGAGAATGAGCTAAAGGTGGTCGAAGGACTTAGGGCGAGGGACAAGAAAGAATGACACACAGACACACTCAAGGGAGAGTGAAAATCTGAGTGCAATTTATTGAAGGCAATCTTTCCTTTTTATACATTTTCTCTATAATTACTTTCATTGTTTTTGCACAAAATCTGGTTAATCATTATCAAAGTATACGTAATCACCGTAACACATATCATTACATATTGCTTATTATCTTTCACAAAATCATATAAATCAAGAACATTTCATACTGTTATTTTCCTGCTGGAGGTGTGTTCTAGATCTTCTGATTCATTATTATGATTATATATTTTCTATTATTAATATCTTTTTAGCTTATATTTATTTCTATATTTGATTATTTTGTTTACTACACGCATTATAGTCTGTTCCCATGGTTACATTCCTTTATTATGAGCTTAGTTACTGGCAACATATTTAAGTGGTGCCTCAATCATTCACAGGCCTGTTTGTTCCTGTTGTTTTACACGGATGAACAGGTGGGAACCAAAATCCCCTCGGGGACTGCGTCTGTCTTAGGTTGTCAGGACTCACTTCCTGATCTTACCCGTCATTGACTGTCCAGTCCAGCTCACAGGGGCAGAGAGCATTGTGCCAAGACAGCACAGCCACCCATTAGTGATGCGAGATTGTGGCAATTGTAACATTGCTCTCAGGAGCCGCCACAATACATTACAGAAACATTTCTGTGCAAGAAGAAAGTTGAAGTGAAAGAAAAAAAAAAAGCTAAACTTATAATAAATGGTTGGAAGGACATGTTCTAAATATGTATAATTTTTTGTGGCCTTTGCTGGCAGGGCAGAGAAGGTGGGAGTTAGTTGTGGAGACCTGCAGTCTGGTTATGTTTGCAGAGACACCATAAAAGGGTAAGACTCTTCTTGGAAACTTTTGACAGAGGGTGTATTCATTTCATGTTCATAAATACACATGTGCTCAAGCATAGTGCAGTGGCAGCTGCTGGGACCTGCCCACTCTACCAGCATGTGTCACCTTCTCCCCGCTACTGAAGCTCACAGCTGGTCCCTTCCTTGGAAAACTGTCCTTAGCTAAATGGAAGACACCACATTATGGGTTGAATTGTGTCCCTTTCCCCACCTTCCCCCTAAATGTCTGGGGGGAACTCCAACTCATGTTGGAGTCCAAACCCCTCTTACCTCTTAGTTGAATAGATGGTTTTTACAGAGGCAATCAAATTGAGGTCACTAGGGTGAGCCCTAACCCACTATGCCTGGTGTATTTAAGTGAGGGGAACGTGAACCCAGGGACATGCACAGTGGGGGGCACAAGACCAAGTACAAGCCCAGAAGAGAGGCCTAGAACACCGCCTTCCTACCCAGCCCCCACCTTCATGTCAGACATACAGTCTCTATGACTATAAGCCGGTAAGTTGCTGTAGTTGAAGCCCAGGGCCTGCGGTTCTTAGTCATGGCATCCCCAGCACGGTCACTTCCCCTGTCCAACCTCAGTGTCAGTGACCAGCACAGAGTACACAGGCCTGCCAGCTCTCTTGGCCCAAAGTGAGACAAGTCTGTCCTGTGATGTGACCTGGAGCTTCCCTTGGGATCAGAAAAGCTCATCTCCGGCAAGGTCACATTCTTCACCAGCCCCACCACCCTCGCTCTTTCCTGAGGGCATGGTCCCTAAGTTCCCTAAATGAGAATCCCCACACCTCAGGCTCTGCCCCTAAGGAACCCTCTATCCTGACTCACCTTAGCAGACAAGGTCCCTTTCTCAGAGAGGCTCTTTTACCTATTAGATGAAGTCCAAGCTGTGCTTTCAAACACTCTGGGTCTGACCTGAGCCCTGGGCTAACATCCAGGGCTCCCCTGTCCCTCCCACTCCAGGCACGCTGCCTCCAGCAGGCCCTTCACACAGTTCCTGAGCTTCTAACATCAAGCTGTTCCTTTGGTACAGCCCCCGGCACACCCTTGCACTTTCTAGCCCAGCTCTGATGGTCCTGTTTTCCTCCAGACACTCCTACAGAGCTCGCTCTGAAGCAAATGGGGAGTCCCTGGAGGGGCACAGGCCATGCTGTCTGACACCTGAGCCATGTTCATCCTGCCAAGCACAGTATCTCTGGTCAGTGCTTTACCCAGCACCATCATTTAACTTTCCACTGACCTTTCCTAGACTGTGGACTTCATAGAGGCCCTGCCTGCTTCTGGACCCCACCCAAACTTGGACTGCTGGGAGCCGAGGACACTGTCTCCCGGGTGATGGCTCTCCTCAGTGGTTTGTAATAACAGGCCTAATTTGAGGGGGGCCAGAGATGGGCCCGAGACCCCAGCAACATCCTACCATACTCTTCACCTCCGGTTTTGCCTTTACTTCCACATCAGACTGTCTCCCCACGTACCCCAGGCTCCTGTCTGCTGGCCCGGCTCAGGGAGCAGCTTCAGAAAATAAAGGGAGTCCTCACTTAACATCCCTGACAGGTTCTTGGAAACTGTGACTTTAAGTGAAATGACATATAATGAAACCAATTTTATCACAGGATATCAACAAAAGTTCTGAAGGCATAATTTTGGTTACAAAATCAAAACCAAATTTCTAAGTAAAGACCCAAACACTTCCAATATTAAATGATCGTTTGCTTCATCTGTTTTCCACCCTGCTTATTCCAGGTGGCACCAGCAGCTTAGGGTGCGAGTTGGGAACCAGTCCTGGCCGGACGCCCTTCCATCACAGGCAGCCAACCTTGCCGGGACTGCGACAGCTGAGACAGGCCAGTGAAGCCAAGGTGCATGTCTCTGGGGTGTGGGGGGGAACTGCAGTACTCAGAGAAACCCACAAGGCGTGGAAAGGATGTGCAAACTCCACCTTGGCAATGGGCCCCGTGGGGAGATAATTTTCTTACTAATGTTTTCATGAAACAACGTTATTCAAGAACCTGCTGTACTTACATCTTTGCAGTTTTCTGACTTGGAGAAGTGGATCAAGTCATCGTTATACATGTCCTGGGTGTTGAGCAAGTCACTATATTCCTTCTGGCTGAGATCTTCGGGGTTGATCCCATTGGCCCTGAGGAACTCCTGGTACGCCACACTGAAGGCCTGCCCGATGGACTGTGCAATCAGCTGTGCCTGCAGAGCAGACAGGACAGGTCAGCTGGGAAGCGCTGCCTCTGGGTGGCCTGGGGGCCTACCAGGACCACAGAGCTGGAGGGTCAGGCCAGTGGGTCTACACACGCACTAATGCCAGCCAGAGGTCATTTTTAGAATCACTGGGGACATTTTTGTTATGATGAAGATCTTAAGGGAGCTCCTTCCAGTTGGGGAAGCAGAGGTGCAGGGCTCACTGCCATGCAAAGGCCAGTCCTACCCCATGGTGAGCCCATCTGCCCCCTGCACAATTTCCCAATATCCTATTGCAGGTTCACGTTCCTGGATGTGCATGTCTAGTTATGAGTCCAAGACTCAGTTCTAATTTATACGAAAACACCAGTCAATTTCACAGCTCTAATAGGCATTGAACTTCCAAGACTACTACTGCCATGTAAACAGAGAGAAGCTGATATGTGGTTGGGTCCAGCACTTTACCAGGAGGAAGTTTCCAGCCCTTTGGAAAATGCCAGCATCACTGCTGTTCATGGTACCTGGGCTGTCAATAAATCACAGCACTACCGCCTACATGTCTGCTGTCTGTGTGTGTGCGTGTCTGTATCTACCTATTTTCTTCTTAACCCTCAAAAAAGTATTTGGAATATTTAACCAAATATGGTGTTCTTGTATCCACACTTACCAATCGAGGAGGTGTAAGCATCTGATGACTTCCTTATTTCTTCCAGAGGGTTGGCCCAAGCATTTACATATTATAGTAAGTGCAATTTTATTTTAGCTTGTTTTTCTTTCTCTTTTGTGTCACATGTATGGCAATACCATTATTTTGTGAAAAAAATTTGAAGGGGGGGTTATGTCATTTATGAACTTCAGGAAAATAATGGGACATCAAAAAGTACATGTAAAAAGGGAATACTGGGTCCAACAAAGTTGAGAGCCCTAACCTAGTCCAACCCTGCATTTTCCAGGTGAAGAGAATGAAGTCCAGAGACACAAAGGAACCTGCTCAAGGTCACACAGCTCATAGAACTCTTCCATTGTTCTTTCTCCTACTCTGAGCTTAGAAAACCTTTCTGCTCATAAAGAAAAAGAAAAATACCGGATGGTCTCACTGATAGCAGGAATTTAGAAAACCTAAATAAGGGACCAGGAAAAAGACTAATTAATACAAAGTAAAAATCAAAATCAATAAGCAACTATAAATCAGAGACACACTATTGGGGGGGGGAGGAGAGGAAGGATTAGGGTCAAAATAAGGGGAGGGGTGCAATTGTATGGGGAATATAACCAAAATGAAAATGCATACATTGTGCAAAAAATGAAAAAATGATGTAAGAATTATATAAAATATTTTTTAAAAAAAGAAAACATTTCTGCTCATTAATTGATCCAGTCTGCCCTGGGATAGCCAGCAGCCACTGAACACTTGTTATGCACCTGTGTTGCATTAAATACTATACCAGGACCACATCAAGTCTATGACTTGTGCACAAGCCTTCACCCTAAAGCTCTTGAGGCTGTCTGAAAATTTCAGATTTTAGAAAGGTAGCAGGGTGCATATATCATTTGTTTGTGTAATAATCCATTTAGGGCCTGGGACAGTGCTCTACAAATGAACACAGTAATATTTCTGCAGTAAAAGTATAACTTTCATGGAAAGTTGGACAAATCCTATCAATTGCCTCATGACCACTCAGGACAGGTTTATCACCCAACTGACAACAAAAATCTTTTCTCAGAGCTCTACACTTCTGAATTGTGAATCTGTTTTACTGTACCTCCTGGACACATCACGAAATGGAGGTCAAGCTACCCACTCCCAGGGGTCAGGACAGGGTGAGTCCAGAGCTCCCCTCCCCCACCACACAGACTTTCTTTCAGTGCAAGTCTAGGGGGTAGAAAACCAGCACAAGAAAGCTCTAAAACAATGTTTAAAATACACAATTCTAACTTCAATTCTCTTTTTCCTACCTTCCCTGATTTTTGCAAAAAAGCTGCTAATCACAGAGATAGTACTTCTGTGTGGTTGGTGTGGGAAAAGGTAGGTTCAACTTTCTCACTAATAATCGGGTAACTTCATGTGCCACAAGTCACATCCAGGACCTGCACCCTGCATCCTGCTGTCACACTCAAAGGAAGTGAGGAATCAGAGCATCTGTGGACAGACTGAACAGTACCTGCCCAGGAAGATAACCCAAACCTCCCGACACACGTCAATGTGTGTACCTGGCGAGGTTCAGCCTGCTGGTATTTACACATCTACAGTCACACAGAGCCCAGCAAGGGGGCACTACCATTTACTGAAGCATAGAGACCACACAACTTGTATGTGGGTGGTGCAAACAAGCGCCACCAGCTCTCCCAGCTCCCCCAGCTCTGGGGCTTCAGGAGCAAAGGGTAATATTCCCAAGTCCATCTTATCCTGTCCACTTCACCCACCCCATTCTCTCAGCATCCTCTCTGACAGACCCAAAGGAACCCCAAGGAAGAGAAACCCCCTCTGTAGGAGCACCAAGGCCGGTAGAGCTGCAGAGGGACATACAGGCATCCTCATGCCTGGTGAGCACAACCAACTCCATCTTTTCACTGGCCTGCAGGCCACATGAGTCTGAAGATTTTAAATTTTAACTTTCAGAACTTTCTAAAACTTTTCAAGTTAGGCTCCAGTTTTAAAGGAATAGTCGGGAGAATGGCCACAAGAGGCTTGCTCAGTGACCTTGTCCCTGGAGCTGCTTCTGAGATAAGACTAATAAAGGTCAGTGCAAAAAGGGAAGGTCTCTGGCGCTGCCAGCACAGCTCTGATTCCCTAAAGAAAGTAGCTGAACACTCTTGTGGATAAAAATCACCTCTGTTAAGGAGCTAAGGCTATAACAGGCAATTTTCTTTAAATAGACAAGGGCTCTCTGCTCAGTATGAGACAGAGCTTATTCCTCTGTGGCAGGAGGGAAATTAGCAGTCATTGGCACTGGCATGGCCCTCTCCAGGGACTCTGGTTCAAAACCTTTGTGGGACTGTGGTCCTGGTGTGGAAGGGGCTTCCAAGGCCTGCCAAAGTCTAACGAGGGCAGGTACTCAGTGTAAAGAGCTCTTGAAGCCGATGGCCTTGGGAGCAGTGCCAGGGACAGCTGGGGAAGAAGGCCTAAAGGAGAAAGTGGTCCAACTTCTGCTGTAAACTGTTTTTCTCTACTGACTTCATCTCCTGGGGAAATGTGGATCAGGAATCTCTGGCTTCATGGCAGGAGGAGCAGCTCATTTTCAGAAAGACTGGTGCTGAGTGGGAGGTCTCCTGCCATGGGTAGGAACAGGAAGCTAAGTTTCCTGCAGTCCACAAGGTGTCCCATACAACCAAAACTGTTCTCTCCAAAAGCCTGAATGTCTAGGTGAGACTTGTTACGGTCCCTGTGCATCTAATCCCACTCTTCTCTTATTCTAAATTCCTGGGCAGCTTGCCCCTGTGGCCTTCCTCAAATCAGTAGGCTCCTGCCTCAGAGCCTTTGCGCTTGCTCTTTTCCTCATTCTACCTTATTGAGGTCGCTACTGAAATGTTACCTCCTCAGAGAGAACTCTGTTGCTCCAACTACCTGAATTAGCCCCCATCCCTCTACCCCCGACCTAATTTTATTTTTCCTTATTGAGTTCCCCACGACCTGTTTCATATTAAACATACCTGTCTATTTTTTTTGGCTCCCTACAATACTCATGATGAGTATTTTGTTTTATCCTGCCCAATAACCCTTAGCCCTAGAATAGTGCCTGCCACATAACAGGTGCTCAATCAGTATTTGCTTCAGACTGATTCAGGTTCTGAGAGAGAGAGAGAACTGGCCACTCGGGGCTCTGGGAGGAGGTCAGGGAAAGCCACTCTTACATCCTCGGACTCGAAGACATGGCAGATCATCTTGTACTGCCTTTTTCCATCCTGGGATGGGTGGGAAGCTTCCACATTCTCCTGGGAGTTGGAGCGGGGCATTCGCCTGCGGGCCATCAGCACTACGATGTTCCCAATGTCTGCGATGTAGGAAATGGTCCTCAGAGGGTGATCCATCATGGTCTCCTGGAGGGCAGAAGGGTGAGGTGGTGAGTGCAGTGTAGCAGCTAGTGAGCCCTGAGAGAGGCTGTCACCCACAGCCCTGCCAGTGCCACCCATATGCAGGGGGCTCCAGGGGTCACACATAAGCCCCTGTTGGCAGACTTACTTGCTCCCACTCAGGCCTAGGGGCTATTTCTTTGGCCAACAATAACCCAGAGGAGGAAGTGGTCTGTGGCAGGCAAAATGGAATTTCAATTGTTTTACAACCAAGTAGAATCTTGGGTGGGAAAGTTGAAAAAAATTTAAAAATCTACACACAATGGACAGATTTTGTGTGTGTGTATTTGAAACAAAATTCCTTAAAATGTTAATCTGTTCAAATCCATAAATGTCTGATAAAAAAAGTATGAGAATTACTAAACATCATCCATGGCTTATTTTTTTCTTTGACCTTTGAGAAAGACTCTCCCCTACCCCGCAATACCACACTCAACCCCAGCAGCAGGCACTGCAGACACTACCTTCTAGCTTGCACAGAAGTTAGAAGCTAGAGCATGTAGGGACACCCGTCTACAGACACAGGCACTGTCTCTGGGTTGCCATGCTGCTAGGCCTCACCCTGGGAAAAATGGGGGCCAGCTAATACCTGCGTGTCGGCATTCAATACTTTGATTCTCTGGGTAGAAATGAAGAGGTCCACCTCAGTCATTGGCTGAGATTCGCCTTCAGGAGCCTGAGGAGAAAAATGCATGGAGGAAAAGCTTAATACATGACTCGGACTTGGGCACATGGGAGCAAGGTTAGCTTACACACAGAGGCTTCGAGACACAGTCACCAGAACAGCAGTGTAGACTCCAGAATTAGACTGCCAAAGCTGAAGGGAACACACAGAGGATGGACACATGGATGAGAGTCAGCACCTCCAGTTTACAGGGAAAAATGCAGAGTCCCCTGTGTTTCTTCCCCCAGAGAAGCAGTAACTCACGGCAGTAGATTCGACTTTATGAACAAGGATTGAGGACAGCCCTTGCTACAAGTGTTTTTAAAACCCAATAGATTGAAGAAATAGGGGCAACAGACTCATCCAGGACTTTCAAGAAGTCATTTAGAATCTGTCCCCGCTCAAGTGATAGGGAACAAAGTTTGTAGCGGGTAAATGAAGTCATTTGGATGCAGTTCTGGTAAGAGGGTCTCCGTGTTCACACACCACCCCAGCAACACAGAAGCAGTAACCAATCCTGAAGCCACCCCATTAAGAGCCCCAGTGCCTCAATATCCTGTGGGTAGCTCCTAAGCACCTAGAAGCTCCACAACCAAAAAAGCAAATCAGTTTGGCTCATTTAAGGCTTGACTCCGCACACATGTGGTTATTAGCGAGTTTTCTTTTTTGCATCCAGCAATCTGACAATCCACAAATCGAACAGACCCAAGTCCCTGCCGCATCAATGCTCCTGCATGGTGGGAACTTTCACACTCCTGTATGATTCATTTAGCATCTCCAATCTGGTTCCTGTCATTCCTCTGAAGTGAAATGACTAATGAGCAACAGAAAACAGCCACTTTAGGCAACTGAGTTTTGAGAAACGTTGGCTTATGGGGGCGGTTCAAAAAGAAATCTGAACAAAAACTTGCTGGATGCAGAAAACAAAAACACGAAATAATAAAAAGGCAAAACATAAATAAATGAAAAGACAGTCATAACACCAAGCTGATGAAGTTGTTTGTACTGCACCTTCTTTCTGCTTTTGGCTAATTTCTGGGCCATCTGCTTAGCATGGAACAAACAGAGACAGGAGAACAGTTAGAAAAGAATTTGCAGAGAGACTCAAAGTCAAAAAGGGATTTGACAAACTAATATTTATCGAGCATTTCTGTGGGAGGAGGACTGGCTTTAAAAAATCCTACTCTCCAACTGATTTCCTAATTCAGAATTTAGTAGGGCACTAGGAGGAAGGAAATACACCAAGGTGCTTCCTATAATAAACGGAAACTAATGTTTGCAAAGAACCAACTTTTGGTTCTGTTGATTTTCTTTACATGCTTGTAAAGAAGCATTTTCTTTACATGCTTTTTCTTTACATGCTTGTTTTCTCTTTCACCTTACATCTTTATTCTACTTTCTTTAGTCTGCTGTTTTTCTCTAGCTTCTTGAAATAAAAACATGAATTATGGATTTTCAATTCTTTTTTCTTTTCTAAGATGCTTATTATGAACCTGCTTCTAAATGCTGCTTTAGCTGTATCCTGCCAATTTTGTTATGTTACAATTATTTCATTCAAAACATTTTCTAAGTTCCATTGTGATTTCTTTTTTGAACCTTGGATTCTTCAGAGCTGTGTTACTTTCTGAAAATACATTGGGGGATTTTCTATCTTTTTGTTACTGGATTCTGAATAATTCCATTGTGGCCTGAGAACATACTGTGATTTTAAACAGCCTAGTGCATGCCTGACTTTGGTGAACATGTCATGTGGACTTCAGAAGATGCATTCTGCACTTGTTGGGATAGCATTCTATTAATGTCAACAAGTAAGTTAAATCAGTTATATGAGTATTGCTTAAATCTACTAGGTACTTAGTTTTTTGTCTGCTTATTATACCATTTACTGAGAGAGATGTGTTCAAATCTCCAGCTGGAATTGTGGATTTGTCCACATCTCCTTTGGTTATGTCAATATTTGTTTTATCTATTTTATAATTATGTCACAAGATGCATACATATTTAAGAAAGTTATGTCCTCCTGTTGAATGGATCTTTTTATTGTTGTTCCTCTTTATCACTAGTAATACTTCTTGCCTTACAGTTGTATAACAACTTAGCCTATATCCAATGAGGAATGCCTATAACATTTCCCCCTCTCTCAAGTAAGAGCAGAGATTCTGGGGCTGGATTGTCTAAAGCTAAATCCTGGGTCTGCTACCTGCGAGTTGTGTGACTTGAAGTCACTGAATGTCTCTGTGCCTCAGTTTCCTCATCTGTCAAGTGAGGATAACAACGGTATCTACTTCATAAAGGTTATTTTGAGGATAAAGTAACAATATGCAAAGTTCTTAGAACAGTGTCTGGTACATTATAGACACTCATGTTTATGGTTACATGACTACTGTGTGCAATTTCTCAGCTTTTGGTAAGGTTTGCTATATATACACAGATCTTGTACAAATAATGGTGAGTCAATGGCCAAACCACAAACTGTTGTGATGGGGGTGGGGTGGAGAAGAACTGCTCTCACATTCCTTGGTACTCACCTGGCAGAACTCTCTTTTGCTTTCAGCAGCACATCTCTAGTTCATTAATGACTGAAATGTGTTGTGTGTACTAACTCACTGTAGAGAAACTGAATGAATCAGCCATCCAAACACCAAACAGCTAATCCCTGATACACCCAGAAAACTAGGGCAGCCCCACTCCCACACAGTCACTCCCAGCTCTTCTTGTGGCCACAAGTTCATGGTGAACAGTTGGAAGGAAGCAACTGTGTTATCCTAACAGCTGCATGACAGTGGGAATGTTTCTGCATCTGAGGAGTGACCTACAGTGGTGCTACTCCATGCCACACAGATGTCCACATGGAACCTGAGTCCTCTAGGGATGTTCTGACCTGCATCTGTGATGATCCTCATGCTAAATGATGCTAGTGCATGTATGTGTGTGTGTGTTTTCTACCCCCTTCCTTGAGATGATATGGCAGTAATCCAAGAACTGCCATTTCTTCTGATACCAGACATAACAGTTACTAGTCAGAATTTCCTCACTCTAGGGAACCAGTGATCTGAAAAGGGTCTTTTCAAAGGAAAGTAAGTCTGCCACTAATGGAATGGCCAAATTCTGTTTTTCACTAAAATGAGTGATGAGGGAGAAGATCCAAAAAGTGAGCTGGGTTTCATGAAAGGCATTCTGAAATAATGTTTAAGTTAAAAATATTTTATACACTTATAATAGTATCCTCATTAAATCATTTATGGTATTCAAGTGCCCTGAAACAAATTAGAATTAAAAACTGAGGTGGAACATTAGAAATGAGGAGGTTGGAGTCAGAATGAGAAACTGGAGTAACAGAGGTTCCAAGAGAAAGGTGAGGCCAGCATGCACCTGGAACAAGGAATGACAACATCCATTTCAATCCCAAGTCTCATGGGAGTGATCTTGGCTTACCACCCAGCAGCTGTGTGAAGAAGACACAGACTCTTGCTTGGGCCACCGTGGAGGGCCCACTGGTGGCGACACTGTAGATTAGTCACGCTGGAGAGCCTCCTGCCTGTCGGAGCTTTTCTTGCCCCAGCTGACGTTTACTGAGCCCACATTATGTGCCAGGACCTGCCTAAGCATTACAGGCACCAGTGTAAAAACTTACAGTAACCCCGTGAGGTAGGCACTCCATTAACCTCATCTTTCAGAAAAAGAAATGGAGGCAAAAAGAGGCCAATTTATTTGCCCAAGATCATACATTCTTTTAAGGCCAGAATAGAGCTTCAGACCTTGGAAATCTCATTGTATCCTCCAAACCACTAGTTGTGCAAATCTGGCAAGTTTCTTATCTATAAACATCTCAGTTTGTCTATAAAACAGAGTTACTATCCCCACCTCACACAATCCTCCATCCCCTCTATTCTGAGGAGTAAAGGAGCAGAGAAGGACCTGTTCTAAGGGTCAGTGTCGTCTTTCCTAACCATAGGCTCCTTTCTTCCAGTCAGATGGGCAATCACATGGCTTAGACAAAGCTACGGCGACAGCAATTTTAATTCTATCTACAATTAAATAATAATTTTGGACATTTAAAGAAAATCTATAAGAGAACAGAAAAATTTGATTTGGAGGGACAGGCAAAGACAGACATAAGAATATTTGATAATGAATGCGCCTTACAAAAAAATACCAAAAAACATCATTTGTGAGCTAATGACATGAGCTTCACAAATGTAGAGAGAATGGAGACATGGACACCACACTCTGCGTGGACATGAAGCGGGAGGGGTTCCACGGTCACCCGTCTTCTAAAGAGCAGAGAATAGACTGGAAGTGAGGGTGGAATGAAGCGAGGGGAGAAGGCAGACGAGGGAGCTAACTGCACTAGCTTCAAGTCTGGTTGTCCAGATGGAGTCAGGCATGACTCCCCCTCTGGGGGGCAGGGGGTGTCTCTATTGGAGCACTTGAGATACTGGCAACATGCAGTGCTGAGCTTTGCCCAGAAGTTTCTCCCAAACATGTCCCACAGAATCCTAGCAAAGACACTTTCACAGGTATCACACAGGGGCAAGTATGCTGTATTCAAACCAGGGTGGGGCCTTCTAGTTAAAGTGAATAATTAAATCTTAGTACAGGCCTTGTCAGAGCCTTTACTGGGAAACCACCTATGGCAAATATCTAAAAAAGTCTGTGATGCAGCGTTTTATGACATTATTTGCCAATGGAATCCTAGAAGGCTGCTCAGCACAGTGGGAAAAAGGGTCGATCCACCCTTCTCAAAGGCAGTGCCTCCCTAGCTGCAGTGTACACCAGTGTCTCCTGGAGTGCTGAGAAAAACAGGTTCCTGCCCCGCCCCCTGACACTGAGGTATGGCCTTAGACTGTATTCCAACAAGTTCCCAAGGGAGGATGCTGGTCCAGGAACCCCACTTTGAGACCTATGTGCTAATGCATTCCTAAGTTATATGGGAGCTTCCTGGGAGGATACTATTTCTTCTAAAAACCAACAGAAGCAGAAAGGCCACATAGGGAAGGTTCAGAGAATAAGAAAAAAAAAAAAAGGCAGATGTTTTCTAATTCTGCTATTGCATTCAAACACACCTATTTCTCATATTTTGGTAAATGGAAAAAAGTCTCTTAATTTCCTGTTCCTCAGAAATGGGCCTATCCTCATATATCACTGTTACCTAAACTCCCTTATCAGACTGCATGGTTCTTAGCAGCAAGGACTGGGTTGTGGTTAGTTTTTATCTCCTACAATTATGTCTGTCCCAGGGTGTGCACAGGAACAGTGGGCTTTCTGAGCTAAATTCCTTTGTTTTCTTCTCAAGGAGACATGTAGTGAAATTTCAACTCTAAATTCTCTACTCCTTTAGCAAATAAATGTGTACGTACATTCCATGTTAAATTAAGAAAATAGTAATGCTGAAAATTCCAAGTATAAATCCAGCAAATACTATTCAGTCTAGTACACAGCTGGTGCTCTGGAGGGACAGAGACCAGGACAGAGGCACGGAACAGAATTCAAGGCTGTCTGGAGAGGGAACACCCTGCTTCCCGCTCAGTGTTTGCTCAGAGACCAGGCACCACAAACATTCGGACTGACCTGGAGGCAGGATTCTCAGTGAGGCGGGCCCCACCTGCGTGTGGGTCAAACAAACAACACAGGTAGGGGAAAGAGAGGGGGTGCTTAGTGGGCTCCCCATGGGAGGGAGCAGAGGAGGAAATCTGAAAACAAAGGAGGAAGCTACTCTGCCATTGTTTAGGTGTGAGCATGAATCAGAAATTACCAATCAGCTGTGGACAGAATATTGCTAGAGATTTCCACATAAATCCAGAGCTTTTCTTCCCCCATCCTTCCTGGAGGGACAGTATAAAATCTGTAGCCTCACTCTGCTCTGCCTAGAATAACTCATTCCTGACAGAGCATCTATAGGAAAAAGCCTGGCTCCACCTCCCTGAGAGAAGGGAGGCCTGCTAGGTGGGCACCGGGTACACACATCCAGGACCACCCAGGGGCTCTTCAGAAATCCTCTGGGCCCCAGGTTTCCTCTGTAGGCGATGAAGTCCCTAGCATGCTACCTGCCCACTAACTTTCTAGGAGTGCAGAAATAAATCAAGTTTTCTGAACACAGCCGTCTCTACTTAGAATTTGAAAAAGCATCAGGCTAGTTATAAAGTCAAACAATCTGATGGGCATTTAAATGGATGTAAAAGGAACATGAGGCAGAAAATATCTAATGACAGACAACAGTTCTTTCAGATGCACAGAAGCACGTTATAAATGATATCTATAAATGAAATGTAACCATTTAATCTTACCGCCTATAATGAAGTCCTCACACTAGAGTAATGTGCTGTAAAAATAAATATATGTTTTCCAGATGGCTATTTTTCTCTAAGTAGGCCTAGAATGGATTTATAATCAGACAGACTATCTTATTCTGATCGACAACGCTAGGCAATCTTTTTGCTCAAATGATTTGTGGATCTTGTTAATACCCACCCTTTGAAGCTTCAAAATAAACTTCTGGTTTCTTATAGGGAACTGGACTTTAAAAAGGGAAACAACACTCTTAGACACCACGATGCACATAAGATCTAGTTCCCAGTACACTTGGCATTGGGTGAGTGCTGGTACTGGGGCAATGTGGTCTGCTCTGAAGCTTCACATTGGCACAACTCTCAAGGTCACTGAGTTTTACAGACATGTCAAGGCAGTGGAAGGACACAGAAACTCTGCCTGCAGGAGTCAAGGGCTACCAGTCAGGAGACCAATAAGCAAGTTCCTCCAAGTGAAACCCAAGCCTTAACGTATTTGCAACCTTGACTACAGAACCTAGGAAATGCTAACCTTAAAGCAGCATGCAGTTTTCTGTCTCAGGGTTCCTTTAGGGGTGGACTGTTGCTCTGCTCTGGAAGATTCATCTGCATGGGCCCTGGTAGCTCTCCTTGAGGGGCTTGGGGAGGACACATAGGTATTTTGGTAGAAATAAATCTTTGTCCTATGGCCCATCCTGGACAATATAGGGCAGCCAGCATACCTGACTCTGGCCTGCTGCCAGTAACAGTGCCCCAGACGCCACAGCAACCAAAACGGCTCCCTACACATTTCTGAACACCGCTTTTAGAAGCAGTCCCTGGAGTTAGCAAAACACACCAGGTCCTTGCTCCACCATCAATCTAATAGCATCACTAATTTGGGAAACTAAGTCCAGTGGCGGGGGGAAAAGGTTTGCCTGAGCTGCTCCACGGCACCATGGCCTGAGCATCTGTTTTGTTTGGCTAAGCAGCCTGCACTGACCTCAGACTGACACTAGCCCCAGAATGTGCCCCAGACAGAGACGGCAGCCCACCGAGGCACCAGCAAATGTGAGTTCCTGATAGGACTCCCTCAAAGCCCTGTGACCAGCAGTCTGTCCCACCTCTCACTCCCACTGCCCATCCCTCAGCCCCTCAGCTAAGACCCACTGGAGTTCACCAAAATCCCATACTCCGTGGTTGGAATTGAGCCAAGTGACCTTAGTCAGGAATCCCAGAGCCCTCCACCCATGACCCTAACAAAGGCACATGTCCCCGGGCCTGGCTCTCTCTACCTGCACCCTCCCACAGCTTCCCCACATGGCCCTTCCAGGTGTGCTGGGTACCTTCCTCCAGGGACTCTGAGTAATAAAACGTCTCCTGCTTGATTTCTCTTGAGCTCTTCTGTTCACCCTCTGGCACCCTGGCCTCTACTAAACAAATGTTAATTTAACAAAACATGCCGCCATTTGGTAACTGTGAGACTTTGTGGAGTCAAAACTATGTCCCTGGGGACTTTGTTTTTACAGTTCTCTGCTCTGTGTGAAATAGGGCAGGCCAGTGCCTGAAAGCAGCTTGTTCTCTCACAAAGTTGGTGTGTTCCTGCTTCCAGTGCTGGGCCAGGGGGAGCCTAAATTAAGCAGATGGAGCAGAGGTGTGAGAGCACTGATGTCACTTCTTTATGATAAAGGGAGGGGAGCAGGGAAGAGGCCAGGACACACTTGGGCAGGCAGCTCCACAGACACTGGACATTCTACTACTGACATTATTGAGTCTGAAAGGCCCAGAAGATCAGGTTGAGATGTTTTCATGGAGCTGTGCTGTTAGCTTCTCAGTGCAGAGGCACTGGCACTTTCCTTGCAGGAAGTGGACCTTCCTACTATCAATCATCCCAGGGAGGCTGATTTTGGGAGAAGGCATGAACACTAATAAAGGGAACCTGGTGGCTGCAGGGCCTCTGAGGCACCGACAGTTTTGTATATCCTGGATGAGGTGGGGGATGATCCCTGAACCTGGAAGACTCCGGTAGATACATCACCCTGGCCTATGGGTGCTGTGGTAGCAGCCCCCCTTAATGCAGCTGTAAATTGCTCTCTAGCTTATACAAGCTAATTTCTGAAATGTCAGTGATAGCAATTAAAGTTGCACGTGCGCTCACTGTGCTATGATGGGTAGTTATGGGAAGGGCCAGGGCTGAGCTGGGGAGGGGAGAGCCTCTTCCAAGGCAGAGGCTGCCTAAGAGCAGCAGTGACTCCTGGAGGCCTTGGTGGCAGGAGCTACGGAGAACAACATGATGAGGAGAAGGGCCAGGACATTCACACAGCACAGGGCAACTGCAGGATGACTGGTGGAGGGGGTGCCTAATGGCAACTGAATGGTAGGCTAACCCTCCGTGTCCCTGCAGTCCTGGCTTTGCTTATGATTCTAGTTAATACTGGCATTATGGGACCAGTGGATCTATGACCGTAACATCCACAACATGGCAGAATCTGGGTCATTGGATAACCTGGGACCAGCAGCACCACCTTTGCCCTGCACAACCTCTGTGAATCTCTGCTCCCCACTCCTCCTGCTCTTCTCTGTCATCTCACCCCTCCAGGCCTCCCTGCCCTCCTAAGGCGCTCAGTATCCCACATACTTCTCTCCTACCCAGGCACTCCATGCATGTGCAATGGCTGATTTCATTCATTTCTCATTTGGACTGCTGAGTGCAAAGGTGAGTGCCTCACATTACAAATTGCTATTTTCCCTTCCACTAATGACCTTGCACAACCTTGCACACACCGGTGCTCAAGAAACACAGAGATTTTGGATTTCTACTTGGGCTTCTTTCTCATTCCATGTTGCCACAGACACCAGGATGGGAACACACAACTTGGGAAGGTGTGAGCGAGAAGATGCAAAAAAGAATGGTTGCTTGAGGAAGGAATGAATTTTGATCAACTGAAACTAGAGAAAACCACTTCCAGCATGTCCTAACCTATCCCAACTTGCTGGAATACCGGGTCTGGGGTTCAACAGTGATGCTTTCTTTCCTTGTCCCAGGTGGAAATGGCCTCGTGCTCCAGTATGGCTGCCTGGTGGTTCTGGGTGTGGTGGCATCTAATGGCAACAGAATGGTGGGCTAACCCTCAGTGTCCCTGTATCCTGGCTTTGCCTACGATTCTAGTTGATACTGGCATTGTGTTATTCCAGAGTTCTGCATGTCCATGGAATCAAACAGGTTCTGGCTGGTTCAAACTAGTTGGAAGTATAAACTAGACAAAACAGGTTCACTCCTTCTACATCATGATAAAACAGATTTCAACAGGTTCTGACTGGCCCAAACTAGCCTAAGCCAGGTTAGCTCTGCACTGACTTGGTCGAGCTAGCCAGGTTAGGTCTGATCAAGAGATTTGTTTCACTTGAAGTAAGCCAACTGGGTCTAGCGTGGGCAGAATCAACAGGTTCAAAGCAAGGAGACTAGTTTGAACCACACAGTAACACACATGTGTAAGGTGCTGATCTCCAGCTGTCAGTGCAAACACATTGACACACATCTCATACTGGAACAAAGTGCTCCACACCTATTTTTCCTCATCATATCAGCTTTTCAATGTGTTTGATCGTCTGTACTTTTTCTTAAAACTAGCCATTAAGAACAACCAAGATAAATCGTATTTGTATAACAAGACTCCAGTACACTTTGGAAATCTTTTCTCTTTAAAACCTTTTCTCTTTAAAAATCTTTTTAAAACCACTAGCAGGTCATAATATATAAGCAGTGCCCTCAGTGTCACCCCAATCCACTCTCCTCTAAGCTTGGGACTAGATATGTGAGGTGCGGGGTGAGGGCTACAGACGGCTCTGGTGCCTGCACTGCCAGCCTCCCTTCTCAGAGCACACAGCGCCCTCTCACCTTGATCCTGCTCACCGCCTCCTGGGCTTGCATCATGCGCACGTTTTTGGAGGGAGTTTTGTCCGAGAGCAGCTGGGTGGAGCCAAGGTAATTGGCAGCAAAAATGATTCCATCAATCAAGTCTTCAGGGTCACAGGGTCCAGGAACTGCAACACACAGAGCCACTGCGGTAAGTGAAGTCACCCCAGGATGGGACCCGCAATGGCACATGTCTCCCCCACCTCACAGGTGGGCCAGTTCTGGGGACCCCCGAGGAGGTGACTTCAGGTCTACTTGCTTGTCTTGGGCATCCCTGTGTCTGCCTTCACTTGCCCCTCATTTTCAAACAGAAGGAGCAATTCTTAATCACTTCACACTTTACTGTGAGAAACAATGCAAAGGTTTATTTAAATATGAAACATAGATTCGATGACAAAGAATGTCCTCCCTCCTGTTAGACTGTGAGCTCTTTGGGGACAAGGACCATGTTCATCTCTAGCTACCTTATAGTGCCAGTCAGCATCTGTCGCCCAGAGAGCATCAAATAGATGAGAGGAGTCTGTCTTACTAGAATGCCTCACTGTGGAGCAGCTCTTTTACTTGCCATCCCTTTTCCCCTCCCCCTTCCATTTTATCCATAAAGGGAGAAATACATTTTATAAATTAGAAAATAGGATGTTTCAGAATGTTTAAATTCCTATAGTGGCCTCTGACCCCAATTCTGCTAGACAGATAACATTACCCTAAAATTGTGGTCTCATGCCACCAACCAGCCTGCGTCCCTACACGGATCAATCCAAGGAAAATCAGCATTAGCTACTCTCAGTGATCAGTCTTTTAAACCCAACTTTAGTTTTCAATATTTGAAAGGATTCTAACCATAAACACCTGTAAACCTAACTGAAATTAAAGCATGTCTGGGACTTCACGATGGATGCATTAAGAAGAGCATTTTAATTCTGCAATAAGAACATACATGTATTTTCTTTGACTTGACTGCCATACTTGGGGAGACTAAAATATACCTTTTAATCCACTGTTAAAACCCCAGGGTCTTAGATAACTTGAAATGGAATCAATTTGCTTTTTCCTTTGGTGGAACCAATCTGAAATGGTTTTTATTTTTATCTTTAGTTATCAAGCTCATCTTGAGCCTAAACAGTTGCTTATCATGGCCCCTGATAAGTAGCTTATTTATTCATTTTTCTAAAGCCAAGGTGGCAGTTAAGACAAAGAAATTAACAGTGATTTAGGCCAGGCTTTCAGAAAGCATCTGTGCAGCAGTGATATAAAGAAGCCTCTCATTTGTCTTATTCTCCACCTTTAAAAGAAAGGCCTCTGGACAACGCTGTGAGAGGCACATGGCCTCACCTGCCTCCTTATGCCCGTGATTTACATTTTTTTTCAACAGTCACATGTTTCCCAGCCTGAAATGTTTGAAGATGTCAGAAGGTATACAGTTTAGCGTGGGGGGAGGGGAGGAGGGGAAAGCACTAGTTTGATTAAAGTAATGTATGGACAAGTTTGGACCAACACTATATTTTGTAAAAGGTAAAAGATGATCAGTCCTCTATTACAAACTTCTGCAATGGATTTATAGTAATTTATCATCATTTTTGACAATTAGATAGTGAGAAAAAGATACCATTTGGAGGTGACTTGAAAAAAAACTCCACCTATTTTGTGAAAGTAATGAATGTTAAAGTAAAAGAAAAATCAAGCAGCTTCTCTACGGACTTTCAATACCACATGGGCATGTCCCATTCAGTTTTTGTCACATAAGTGTGAATATGGGGACATATTTAAGAGCAATCCAAATAATAATTCAGTGACCGTATAAATGTCAGCCACTAAGAGACAGCAATGCTGACACTAAACAAGTTATGCATTTGAGATATAACCTTATGCCAATTATATCTTTCAGGGAAATTGATTATAACCAAATGTCACTGTCATAATAGATTCCAAGAGGGGAAAAAAAGCTCTAATTTTGAGAGTTCCCTGTAGGCTCAGTGTTAGTATATTTTTTTAGAGTTAAAAATAATTAACATTATAACTGTTCTAAGTCAAGAACTGTAGGCTCCATTTTGGCATTTTGGGACATGTCTTCCCCTTCAGTGACACCTTTGCATAGTTCTGTCAGTCAAGAGGCACACAGCCTCCTCACCCTCCCGCTCATGCTGGTTTGAAATCTCTAGGCCTGGAGGAACAGATAGGAGAATGGAGTTTCCAAACTTCTGAAAACCCCCAAGGTACTATCATGGAATTTTGAGCTTTGCAAACATGATGTAAAGGATTTGTAGATTACTCAAGAAGAAACTTGAATAACTGAACTAGAACTACAAAGCCTTTTTCTGGGTTTCAGGTCCGAGGGTCAACAGAGGCTAGTGACTCCCAGGAGCTCATTCCCAGCAGTGAAAAATACCAAGATGGTTCCCAGGATCTACAGGTCAGACAGGACCTCTAAGTGATTTTTGGGCATATCTTGGCCCTGACAAAATCCTCCTGCAAGGAAATGACGATCCACTCTACCAGAAATAGCATCTGCCATCATCTTTGACAAAGGGTCTGTGCCCCTAGCCAGGGGGGGATTTTGTGGGCATGAAAAGCTGGAGCTCCATTTGTGTGGCCTGACCTCCAGTGGGAGTGCATGGCTTAGGCTGAACTTTGGCCCCAGTAGGCCTTGTAGCTGGGTGCCCTTGTGCAGTGGAGAAGGTGCAGCTATGTGTGGTGACAGGGAGAATAGCAGAGTGAGACTGCCAGCGCACAGTCAGGCTACGTGCCAACTGCGTGCTCTTTAGAAAGTTACTCACTGGACAGCTCAGTTCTCTTGTGCATAATATGAGGATGATGATAAAACACATCTCATGATATGCAAGGCAGGATTCAATGAATTATTACATGGAAAGTGTTGTTTAGAACAGTACCTGGCAGAGAGGAAGAGTTTGATAAACGTTACTAGCTCACCCAAGCAAGAGAAGGGAATCACTGGAAAGGTCTCTCTGTCTCTCCCCGCCCTCAAATAAACTTCGTTAAGGTTTGCCTTAGTTAAGGTTCAAATACCCTTGAGTGGTCCTTGATGGGTGCAAGAAGTAGTGGGCCAGAGGTAAAGAGAATTGGGTTTCAGATCTAATTTGATTGCACTAATCTAGCCCCCAGCCTCAGTTCTCATGGACACAATCAGCAGAGGCAGGGAGAGGTGCTTGGGGATGTTCCTAGCTATTTTCCTTTAGTCTAAGATTCTATGTCTAAGACTGTTTACATTGAATAATTGACTTTGTGCCTTGCTGCCCCTCTATCGTGTTAAGGCCTAGTGTTTCAGATACCCAAAATGCTAAAAGATTCATGAATCACCCAAAGCTCAGTATTTCCTTTTTGGCTCTTACCTTCAACATAGGTTGGGAATGAAGCCAAGCTTTTTCTTGACTGTAATTAAAACAAAGAGGTTTTAAACAGGGCAAAGCATAATAAAAAATGCATTAACACAACCATTCATGCAACATAAAAAAATAAATATATCACCAATGGCAGATATTAACCAGTTACCAAACATTTTGGTAGAGAAAGCAAACTGTGAATAAACACGTGCATTTATTATTAAAGGCTACCCAAAGTCCACCCGTTCATATTTAGATATCTGAAAACCCTACATTCTACAGAGAGGTCTGCCAATTTAAAATCTCCTACAGACCAAAAATCAGCGGTAGCAATAGCAATAAGGAGCACTCAATTTGCATTCTTAAGACAAATTTGGGTTTCTAAGGGAAAAACTGCTGATTAGGAAAAGTACGAACAATATGATCATAGGTTGAAATTGAGAATTCCCTTGGAGAATTTTATTTCCACTTTAGGTCTTGCAGCAGTGATCTCTCACTGTGCTACAATTGTTTGCCAGAGTTTTTATCTTTTCCTTTCATCTCCTACTGATTTATTTTATTTTAAAAATTCCATTATAAAAGTCATTATTGTGTGTTACCTTAAAATGAGAACACATCAAGGGACTAAACGAAAAATTCTGGAATTTCTTACATTAAATAACACCTCATAGTAAAGGCGGAGCTTCCAGCAGCACTGTTGGAGGTTGACATGGTCAGTTCTAAACCTTCTAGAAACTGAACAGATGGCAGTGTAAATGCAAACTCTTAGAGGGGCAATGTTTACCATTGGCTCCATTCACAAGCAATGTCCTAGAGCTAACTATGAGTGGGAGAAGAATAGGAAACTCATTTTTGCTTCAGTCATTAATAAAATTTATAGTTCATATGTCAGTGGCAGGGAGGTGCAAGCATCAGGATTGGAGAGCTAACGTAAACCCAAGAGTCCCTTGAAAGGGAAAAAAGTGGGGGCCTCCCTGGTGGCACAAGGGGTTAAGACGCAACCTATGAAGCAATCCGCAGCTACTGTAGCACGAGTTCTATCCCCGGCCAGTCAGGAAGCTACCCACAGTGCAGCAGACCTCTCCTGTCTCATCTGCTGGTCTCCTTAGCAGTGTATTTCAGTCAGTCTGTCTGTTCTGCTCCCCACTCTGTCTCTGGTGAGCTCTCTCACCTCCCACACCTCTAGCCTGTACCCTAGTTCTTGTATGCATAAATAAATAAACCTTTAAAAAAAAGTAAGGGCAAAAAATGGGGTTTGCATGGCTGAGCGTTATCCTCAGACAGTGTAATGATTTTCGCTGTTAAGAATCTACCAGATTGTTAAGTGATCATTTAAATTTGTATATTTTACAAAGAGGGGATCCAGTACTGCATGGCTGTTCAACAGGTCAATTAGAACTGTTGCCAGACACTGTTCCTGATGGGTGCAATGTCCTGGGAAGTAATTTTATCTCGCTGTTCTTCATATAGTGCTCTGCACTTGGGAGATAGGAAGGGCAAAGGGGTAATGAATTAGTTAACACTTGCACATTTGAAAAGATAATAGTGCTAATTATTATGTGAAAAATTGGAGGCTGTTGAAATAAACTAGTTTTAAGACTATGACTCAATTTCAGAAATGGCAAGAACTAAACGCTAACTACTCAAAACACTGGGCAGGGCAATAAACCTGCTGCAGATGTGCTCACTGCACCGTACACCACAGAGGGGAGTTTTTGTTTCAGAAAGGATCACCTTTAAAGAAACTTATGAGGAAGGAAAGATCACTAGCTGCTAATGCATTTATGGAAAAATGTATACCAAAGGAAAGCCAAGCTCTGTGGATGGAAAGAAAGAGAACTCACATTCATTTTACTTTCTATTTACCCAAGTGAGAAGGTAGGGCCCGATGAGTGCCATCAGCCTAGTCTATCTAATTCTGTTTGTTTTAAAGGAAAAAAAAATCCTTAATTTTATGGTATGCAGAAGGAAGGTACTTCTTCATAATGACCAAAGATTTAAAAAATATTCGTCTCCGAGCATCTTCCTGTCCATGTCCTCAGTACCAAGGGGCCTGGGGTAAAAAGAGTTTGCTTTGTTTAATCAAAATGACTTATGCTCCAGGTATAGCCAGAGAGCCAATTCAGATTTTTGGGGGGCTATTAGGGTACTTTTCTGAATGCTAATCTCAAGGAAACTGTCCAGACTTTAGCAGACGCCACAAAACAATTACTTTAGTCTATAGCCCTAAAAGCTTCCATTTTATTTGGTGCCATGCAGAGGGGATTTGGCTCATTTACTTTAGTCTCTGGGGTAGTAAATTTTTTTTTTTAAAGAGTTTTGTGAAATGAAAGCATCTCTAATTATCACATACAAAGAGGATTTTCATCATTATTTCTAAGAATATGCAGAAACATGTGCCAACTCCTGTAGGAACTGAGAAACTAACAAATTTGCCTTGCATATTATCATGTCTGATAAATAATCAGGTGCTGAATATTGACATGTCTGATTAGCCCTTTGTTTTCTCACATGTGGACAGAGATGAACATCAAGTTGATCCTTAACATTCAAGAATTAATAAAGCCACAGTCAAGAAGATAAAGGCCAAAACCTCTGAGATTTTCAGGGTGAGGGGGTGTTCACATAGGTCGTGTGCAGGGTCTGGAGTCCTGAAAAATGGAAGAATGACGTGCAAGCTGCCTTGTTTACACAGCAGGTTTTGCCCCAATGATAGCAGATTCTGCTGTTGAGAGCCTGGGCCCTCAGGAATTCTGAGTTCAAACCCTGGTCTGACAAGTTGAGAGTTCTGAAAACTCAGGGTAAGTGACCCAGCCTCAGCTTTCTCAGCTCACAAATGAGAACAATAATACCTACCACACAGAACTAACTTAAGGATGAAATAAGATATTTCCTATGATTTGTGTAGGTCACTGCCTGAACACAGCAAATCCTCAAGACCTGGGGCCTCCTGTTACTGTGTGATCTCCATGGCTGCCACGCTGCTCCCGATACTATTTGTCACCACCTATCTGTGTACTAAGAATAAGGTACAGAGCAAAGGTGTGGGAGAAGGGCCTACGGCATCCGTGACCCCATTACGCCTGCTATGTGGCCTAGGATCTGAGGATCAAAACCACAGGAGGACAAAGTATATTTCAATTCTAAATTCTCAAGTTGCTAGCTATCATCTCAAAGATGGCCTCCTCATATCTCTTTGTCTTAATGTGAAAAGAATAATAAAAAATATACTTTTATCCTGCATGAATATTTAATGGCAAACGTATGTATGTACAATGATACCAGAAGGGTAAGTTTTAAATGAGATCTTAGAAGCGACCTACCACTCAGGTTAAAACGGAGATTGCTTTCTTCCATGGCATTAAATGTAGAATTATTAGGGAAAGGAGGGGAAAGAGAGACAATCACTTATAATGTGGCTTACCTCTTTAATGCACATCCTCAGTGTTGATTAGGCAGTATCTATTTTTAGAGTGAGCTGAGCCCACACACAGATTCTGCCGCAGGCCAGTATCATTTACCTGCTGCTGATTCCTGAATAGGTGGGGGGTGGCAAGGAGCTGGGTGTAAAAGGGCCGTGGGGGACTGAGGAAGGCAGTGGCTACCTTCAGGAAAAAAACATTTGCCCTTTTCTAGCCCCAGAACCTAAGTGTGAGTAAGGAGCATCTTCTTAACTATCCTCTGCCAGGGCTTAGTTTAGCTTCCATAAGCAGGGCAACTGTGTGATTTACTATCCAAGAGGGCCCTTCAGGGCTCCACTGTCGAGTGCCCCTTGCCACACAAGCTACTGAAGGGAATTAAAAAGGAAGCAGATGAAAAATTCAGTTCCTCCATTGGACTGGCACAGGTGGCCAGTGACTGCATGGTGGACAATGTGACATTTCCATCATCACCGAAAGTTCTCTGGCCAGGGCTATCCTAGAGAAGGAAGGGGCGCTCACCAGGTGCACTGCTTGGACAACAGCTGTGAAGTGGCATCACCTTATGTACACCCAGACAAGCCCTCTTGTCATGAAAGATACTTCAGTGGGGCCTAAAATAAAAGGGCATTTAAGAAATCAACCCACCTCTCAACCAGATAGCATGGTGAGCTCATGGAGTATGAGCCCTTAGCTCCATGAGGAAGAATGCTGCTACACAGGGGCCTGCAACCAACGTCCAGAGCATCTAATAGAGCTTTCTGCAGTGAGGGCAATGCTTGGTGATCTTCCATACAGTCCAGTCCAGTAACCACTGGCCACCGAGCACATGACGTGGCTAGTGTACCGAGGAAGTGCATCTTTCATTTTGTTAATTAAAAGCGATTCGTGGCTAGTGGCCACCCAATTGGCATGGCTTTAATCACGGACTTCCCCGACAGAGGAGAAATTAGAAGTTTGACCCCCCCCTACTCTTGGGGGGTAAATTGGGTCAGAAACTGTAGGGGAGGCTAAAGAAAGCATAGACCAGAATTAGAATACAAGAGAGTGGGCTGATGGTTCTTGGAGCAAAACATACCCTACCTCTTTATTTGTGGAGGCCTCTGCGGGGTCACTAGGATGGAGGGGTGTGCTTGAAGACTCTGCACCCAGGGGTGAGGAACTGCCAGGAGATGGAGACTGGAACACAGCAAGGGAATAACACAGTGAGCAGATAAGGCTGAGGCTGAACACCCGGCCTGGTGGAGGGACTGGGGAGAGGAGAAAGTCAACACATTTCAAAGAGTATTTCAGCAGTGAGAAAACTTCCCTGGAAAGAAACTGCCAACTGTACATAAAATATTGGTTTTTCAAGCTTTGTTTAAATTCCTGGCCTGGTTTCAAAGGTGCTCTCACCACTCAGCTTCCCTCTACCCACTTTAGGTCAAGTGTTTAAATAAAGACAGCAAAAGTTGAGTATCAAACTTATAGCTCTAGATGAATAACGCTAATAATGATTACACATGTGTAGTTTTAAATTTTTTCTTAGTGTAGGATACACAGACTGGGCTATAAATATCTTATAAATTCACCAAATATAAAAATTACAACACCTAACATGAAAAAGGCAGCTGGAAGTGACTCTGAATTGGAAACCACACTCTGGTATTTTTCTAATCTCTTCAGATTTCAAATATTTTGTCTGATTTAATCCGCAGGTCATTGAAAATTCAGAGATATTTTAGTCTACAAACATTACCTTGGTCTCTCTTAGAACAATACCAAAATCATTTGCTTAATGCTATGTTTGAAAATAAAGTTACAAACAAAGGTTCTGGAAGGCTGAACCCCATCAGGTGTTACCAGCCCTGGCCATGGCTTGGAGCTTGAAGCACAGAGGAGCTGCTCCAGCGGGTGCCTGACACACAGCTCGTACACTCCTGCTGAATGAATGGCCACAGAGAGAAGACAGGCATGGGGAGGCTGGTGCAGACTCCAAAAGCTCTTGCCAGATGATACCCCAACGTTTCTGTGTTCTCCTGCAGTCTGGGGAGATGAAGGGAATCTTCAGCTGAGTCAAGAATTCTTAGAGTAAGAGGTCACTGCTTCACGGTTTGCTGATGTTTGACAGAAGACATAAAGCAGAAACCACACGAGGATCTGTTCTGTGTTGGAAATACAAGGATGTGAACAAGGGCAGGCAAGTACTGGGCAAAAATGAAAAACCAATGCCAGTGGTGGCTTGAACCTGCTTGAGATTGTACCCCCTGGGGAAGAGGCACATAGAGACATCAGTAAGATATCTCTGCATGGAAAGAGAGAATGTTTCAGAACTGCTGAGGAGAGGGGTGGGGGGAACTTTAGTATCCAGAGGGGGTTCCAATAGGTATTGTATGAAATCATGAGAAAAAAAAGTAAATATTTTTTAAATGCCTGTGTTGCAGGAAACAGGGCACCAAGTGACTTGAAGGATGAGGCAGTGGATTGCAGTGTTCACAGTGACGTGCTGTAGGGTCAAGGTGTGGATTTGTTTCCTGTCAGCCCATGTATCTGATTCTAGACAGGCAGGAGAGGACCAGTGAGCCTCTTAAACACTCATGGCAGATATCAGCCACTCCACTGTATAAGGTCAAGAGGACAGGCTGAGGGTAGCAGCAGACAGAAAAGTGCCCAAGGCCTGTGGTGCCTGCCTTTAAAAAGAAACAGAATTTTTCATCTGGCAAGAGAGTTGGTGGGTACTTGCTGAGTTAGCTCCATGCCTGGCCCACTCAAAATTAATATAGTAAAGCTTTCATGAGAACTGAAGGCCTTCATGATCTTCCAGCTTTTCAAATTTAAAGAGTTTCCTTAGATAGGAACACCTCTCTTTCCTCAAGTAATTTTCTCTGTCATACAGATTTTACCAGTTTAGTCCCTGGGAGAGAGAGTGCAGTTGGTTTTTCTTTAATTGGTTGGCTTGAGGGCCATGTTAACACCATCATTAAAAAAAAAAAAAAAAAAACCCAAACCACCAAGCTCCAGAATAATCCCAGAGTTTCCACTTGTCTATTTTCTGTTGCAAATCTTCTTAAAACAGACTCTGCAATGTTGAAGGTATGAGATCATCTCTGGATAATGCAAGACAGGTTGCGCAGACAGTGGGTTGGATGGGCAGGTGGGACCCCACAGGCAGGCTCAATGTGATGCACGGCAAGCTTTGTCAGGGACCACTCCCATCAGGTGCCATGCTCCAGCTTTCTGTGCACCAAGGGGCTCATTCATGTCGCCATCCATTTTCATGTGCAGTTACGACCTCCCTCTAGAGAGTTCTTTCTCACTCCTTACTACATCCATTGCTCAATTTGAAAGCACTCATCTTGCTGAAGCTTCCTCAGACTCTCTTCACATACCATTCTCCCCTAATGCCAGGTTTTCTAGTTGTCTGCTAGTGTATGTGCCCCTCTTCCAAGAGCTTCTGGGTCCCAAGGGTCCTGCCTTACTCATGCTCATAAGCCAAGCATCTACTGTGGGTTTTGTAAACCACTGGCTCTCAGGAAACATTTACTGAGTAAATGATTTCAACAGTTTCTAGCTTACCATTTTTCTAGCCTGCAGAGCAAGCAGATTCATCACTGCTCTTTCATTATTTAGTCATCAACAGTAAGTCCTTTTCTAACAGAGCATCCCTATGCGGCTATATGTAGAATGTTGCCATCTGCATTTTATTAGAAAATTAGAGCAATGGTCTTTGTCAGCAAAGCTCTGTTACAACAGAAAGCTATCCCAAAGCAGACCCACCTGTCTGGCTTCCTACTCACCACACCTGACTAACCAAGATGGACAAATGTCCTCAGAGAAGACATAGCCTCCAGGGAGCCTAAACAAGGTGTTTGGGTGCTTTGTGGCGCCACTGAAGGGGCGTTAGAGTCAACTCATCTCAAATGTCTGCTTTAAAGGCCCTTTGCTTCCCACTTCCAACTTCTGCCTCGTTATACTCTAAGAAGTGGACAAAAAAAACAGAAAAAGGATACTTTTTACTTTCAAGTATTGTACTTGAGGCAAAATTTAACCAATAATATGTTATACTAAGAATAAAAATTGTGATTACCTATTTATCTGTCTGTTTATCATGCCTTCTGGGTTACTGAATGGATACTCGATTTTAAGCAAATGAGACCGAGAGTGGGAAGCAAATGTGGACTTGGAAAATCATACAGTTTAAGTGCCTCATGGGATATCTCTGGGAGGGTGTTCCAAGGTGACTCAACTACTCCCTTCCTGTTCTGTATAATTAGGGGGGGGGGGGTCTCCTTAAGCTCAGCAACTTGTTTTCTGCAGACTACATCCTAGCAGATTCTTCACTACTATGACCTAAATTGTACTGCCAACTTCAGAGGCTCCACAAAGCACTACTGTCAGCCTACAGACTTGTTCTTCAATGCCAAAATATCCATATAGAAAGTAGATCATTCATTTGAATTCCTGCTGTGCATCTCCTAGGAGCAAACTGCTGGTGGTGATGGTGCAAAAAAGACCTCAAGGAATTTTCAGGTTATGCTTGTCAGGGAGAAAAGCAGCACACAGATAATTATCATTCATTTATTCCTTCAATAGACATTTCAGTGCCAACTTCTGCTCCTAACATGGGGTCAGGAAGTGATGAGAAAAGACTTTTGGTCTTGTCATCCTTTCCAGATAATGGAAAGAGGCAAATATGTGAAGCCAGGGAGGGTCTAGGGTGCTAATTCTTATGTGGGGATAAGAATTGGGAGGGATCAATGCTACAGGAGCGGTGGGCGTGCATGAGCAATGCTTCATGGAGAAAGTGATTCTTCAGTGAATTCTTGAAACCTGTGCAACATTCTCGGAGTAGGATGGGATGGGACAGGGAAGAGTGGAAGGTTTTCGAAACAGGCATGGAGGTAGAAGAGAACAGCACTGGGGGAAGAGAAAAGTGATCTGAACAGCAGGCATCTCTGGAGCCCTTCCCATGACACAAAGCAGCTCCTACTCTGGAGGGTGTCTTCTGGTGATTCATTGGCCTTTGTCCTCACTGAAGAAGCACCCTGTAGGTCCTTAATAACTACTACTTGAATGAACTGGAAAATCTAAAGGATTGAGGGACTGAGTTCTCACTTTCACCTTCGTCCCCCTTCACCCTCAGACATCTGCATGAAGAGACTGCAAGCTGGAAAAATTTACAGACCCTTTGAGACCACCCCGACACTAGAGGTAAAAGATCTCTAGCTCTTTCCAAATGTATAGTGCTCTTTTCAGGAAGGCCAAGGGATGGAGCATAGCCCAGAGCAAAGCTGTGCTTAGGAGAGGTGCAAAGAGATCTAAACAACTTGGAAGAGCTCCAGTCAAAAGATACAAAGGAGTGAGTTCTACATGGGCCATTCTTTCATTTATTTAACATGGAAGTGCTGCCAGCCAGAGGAAGCCCAGATCCCTGCCTGGTCTAGCAGGTAAACAGACCTACAAGCAAAAGCAGTGGTCACTGTCTGAAGCCCGCAGGGAAGCAAAAGTCCCAGTAACACAACAGTCACTAAGGAACAGGCTGCTCGCCATGTCAGTGTCCACCTCAGCAGTCCTCAAACACCAGCATCTCGCGGGCTGTATCTTTGTCAGCTGGTCTCTGTCGACTGTGGTGACCATCTGGTCTTACAAGGCAAAAGCAAAGCACAACAGCAAATGTGTAGCATGGTAGAAGTGCAAATATTGCAAAAATAAATAAAAAGCAAAATTTCATAAAGTCGAAGAAGGCAAATAAAACTGTTGAAACCAGATACAAATAACTTAAGAGCCGGTCGGTAAAGTTACATAGGCTAACAATTAAGAGGAAAATGGAAAGGATGATGGCAGTGGAGGTACTTTGAAAGAGCAGGGATGGAATATCAAACCATTGAGAGACCCTTGGAAAAATGGAGTCATTATGTAAATACTTTTGCAGGAATGGTCCTCCTTAAGAAGAAATTGTTAGTCATTTAGGACAAGGAGGGGGATGCCCACAGAAAATTAAATGGCCAACTTTACCCAGAAGCCCAGGAGACACTTGTCAGAGTCCACAAAGCCAGGAGGAGGAGCCAAGAAATACCCAGAGAGGACAACAGCATATTATCCCAACTTACAGACTCAGAACGCCTGAGGAGGGCAAGAAGCAGCAAAGGGGGTAAAGGCAGACCCCCATTCCAACCTGCTGCTGTGGTTCTTAAGGCTAT